ACATATGTAAAACAGAAATCTAAGAACTTTTTGTTCATGTAAATTTTTCAAAAAATAAAAGAAGACATGAAATTCATAGAAAACAAGAAAAGGGGATACTTTAAAATAAAAATCTATCTTCTCATACAAATATCATGCTACAACATTGAGACACGTATCATTCAATTTGTAAAGACCATATCTAAAAAATGACCTTTCTCATTTTTCAAAATTTTGGTTTTTGTGGGTGGGGGAAAGGGGGATTTATTGTCATCTTTTCAATTTCCCCCCTCCACCCCCTCCCCTTTTTGCAGAATATAATCCAAACAATATCAAAATAAAAAAGTGCAAACATCATTTTGTAAAGCTTTAATTTATAAATCAAACGGTACATCTCTCATTGCGGTAGCTTGAAAATCATAGGAGGAGATAGATTTCTAAGATGAAAATTGCAACTTTTCAGGAGAGCCTATAAACCAGCGACTGGCGGCATGCGCGCTATGTAAAGGCATGTAACGTAGCTTGGATACCAAAGGTAAGCGTTATTTCACTCTGAAGTCACTCAGCGATGCAGAGAACGACTGCATGCACACCTTCCAGCATGGCAGCTTGTCGCTGACTGAGCTTCGAGGCCACAGACTGCACATTTATAGAACCCGGACAGAATTTTTCTCATAGGGTTTTGTTAAAGGGCTCCACCACCCCCCACCCTTCAGAATCTGCCATGAACACATTAATCAATGTACAGAGATGGTTTTGGTACTGTTGGATAGGTCAGAATGTCAGCTTTAAGATGAGACTAAAAACCAGAAAAGCCAAAATTGTTGGTTTTGGACCAAGACAATGGTCCCCTTAAAGGTCTTGCAAGGGCTCGTATGGCATTTCCAAAAAAATTCCATTCCATATGCTATTTGTAAGGTGCTAGATGCAATATAAAAGGCTCCTGAATTAATCTGGAAATGGGGTAATAAGGGACACTCTAAATAAAAATTGATTTTAAATGTCTGAAGCCTGCAAAGTGTACTTGTCTATTACTAACAGTACTCTGAAGTCCTCCTTCCTTTGTAGATGATGTAAATGTAGAATAAATGACAGTTTCTGTGATTTTTACTTGTTTCTTTCTTTATTGATATAATATTACTTTATCCATACCTACACTCACAGTGCCTTTTACTCTACTAATTGATTGTATTTACTAAGAATTTAAAAGCAAAGAAAAGTCCACAAAAATTCATATCTTTATAGAAAACGTTTCGGAGACCAGCTCCATCGTCAGTTCGTATAATCTAGAATCACAAATCAGAAGTCACAAATTAATACATTGAAAGCACAGAACAAAATTAAAAACCTAAATTTACAAGTAATAGATGAAGCAAAAAAAAACTATCTATTAACAATTTCAAGGGGATAGGAGCTAGCAGCTGAATTCAAACTGGGCCTAAGTTTAAAGATGTACAGCGATTCTAAAATGCGCAAATCGGAAGTCCCGGAGGTAGAAGCTAACACCCTAAAGTCACTGTCAGAAACGGGGACATCACACTGCTCGGCGTGAGCGCGCACAGCCGAATGAGGTGGGCGCGATAGCAACTGTCCGGTTCTACAACTCCTGCCCTTATGCTCAGAGACCCTGGAATAAAGATTACGTGACGTATGTACATCTTTAAACTTAGGCCCAGTTTGAATTCAGCTGCTAGCTCCTATCCCCTTGAAATTGTTAATAGATAGTTTTTTTTTGCTTCATCTATTACTTGTAAATTTAGGTTTTTAATTTTGTTCTGTGCTTTCAATGTATTAATTTGTGACTTCTGATTTGTGATTCTAGATTATACGAACTGACGATGGAGCTGGTCTCCGAAACGTTTTCTATAAAGATATGAATTTTTGTGGACTTTTCTTTGCTTTTAAATTCTTAGTTAATTTGCGATTTAAGCAAACAAGTGATATATATTCATTGATTGTATTTGTGTTTCTAGATCTGAACTTCTTCTGAACTGAATTTTGGGAACTGATGATGGAGCTGGACTCCAAAACGTTTTCTCTTATAAAGATATGGTGAATTTTTGTAATATTGTTTTTGCCTTTAAATTCCTAGTTAACTTGCGATTTAAGCAAACAAGTGATTTTAATATTTATCCATACATTACCATATTATTAATGTGATATTACTGTATCCTTGGACATGCCATTGAGCATTGACAATGACCTTGTTCACTGCAAGCTTCATATCAGCAGCCATGTAGCATTTCTTCTGCATCTGTAAGCTTACAAGATGGCTTGTAATTTCACACAATTTTAATCAAGTCAAGTGCTTTCACTCTAACAAAAAGATAGTAAAAAACATACCTGAAACAGGAAGGAATATTTTAGTGACAACCATCATATTTCTTGAAGAAATAAATCATAGTTTAGGTTAATTACTTTTCATTTTTTGTTGCCTAGTGCTCAATTCTATCAATGACATTCTATGTGCTATTTTGTGATGACTGATGCAGTAATTTTTTGTTGAGTGAAATTTTTTCACAGAGTGAGGTAAATGTAATTGAAATTCTTTGTTTTTAATTGATTTTTTCAGTAACTGGAGCCTTTGCTAACTAAGGTTCTACTTCAAATGCAATTTTATGGGTGTTCCTTATTACCCCAGGGGGGTGTCCCTTATTACCCTATTTTGCAGAATTGCAGAAATGGCCACCATTTTTTCTTGGAATTAGATATGCAAATTCTGTCAATCATATTATTAAGCCAACACCAGTATGCAACTTTTATGTAAGTAAAATTTTTCAATATGACAAATATTTTTTCTGCTACAGACCTTAGCAGAGGTACTTTTGACAAAATCTCACTTTTCACACTTTTTTTCAGGGATTTTTTAGAGGTAATAAATATATGATTTCTCAACGTGCATTATGATGCATAGGAACATGAAAATGTTGAACTTTATGCCACTTTTTTAACTTTTGCAATATTTTAATTAGTTTAGCTGCTACAACTTTCTACAAAATGTTGGAGGACTGTCCTTTATTATCCTACCCATCCCTTATTATCTCGTTTGATGGTAGATATATTCCATGCCTTGCAATAGCAGGGTGCCCCAGTGTAGAGGGTGCAAGCAGGGTTGCCAAGATATGTTTTTCAGCCAAAAGCGTCACCAGCCATTTTCAAGATCCATCGCCAGGTAATGTTTAATAAGAAAGTGCTGCAAGCAACTTTAATAGTATATCCTTTACTATCCATGCACCGAAATACTTACACAGAACGTACTAACTGATTTCTGGACAAGCTTCACTGCATCCTGATCCTTCTGGCATACCAGAAACCTTACTGTGTACGCTTGTGATCCTTCAGATTTCCAGTAATTTCAAGTTATTTCTCATATGCAATAATTTTAATCCAAATGTGTTAGCAAGATCTTCAGAAGACATAAATTTTGCTGCCAATATGTTACCAAAGATCTTGCAAATTTGCAATATTCATCCACTTTCTGGCTTCTGCATAGGTGGGACTGCCATACAGATACAATAGCCCTTGTAAAGAACCTTTAAAATGAGCCCAAAGTCATTTACAGAAAGTTTCATGGTAAGAAACTAAGAAGTTATTGACAGTAGATAGGGTAAACGCGGTATATTCCGACACATTAAGGACGCATCGAGAAATGAAAAACTATAAAAAAAAACGTATGCGTTACGTAAGTTCTGTTGCCTTCACATGACTCTCAAAACACTTCACTACGCATCAGCAACGATGAAACGTCACAAAATGTTGAACTTAAAGGATTCCTAATATATTCACAGACGTATTTAAAAGTCTCAAACCATAATATTCTTCCTATAAAAACAGTTATTCACTATTTGGTAGAGCCATGTCAACTGTCAAATTTGACACATTTTTTGATTATCTCACCACATGGCATGCATTGTCTCTCTTTGGATCTCAATATTTTCCCACTAGATGGCCAAGACCTAGTGTTTTTGCAGTATTTTGACACGCAAATGTATGACATCACCATTTCAAGTTTTCAACCATCAATGAACGCATGGAACTAAAACAAAGCTTAATATAAAGGAAAAGCTGGGGAGGTGACGGAATTACCTACGATGTCGGAATATACCGCGTTTACCCTACCTTCTTACATTTACCAACCAAAATGGCTGCCAATACCGGCCATTGTTACAGCCTTACAGGAATACAATTTAATTGATTTTTTTTACCATATTTTGTTCTTTTGATTGGCTTTAAATAGGTAAGTATAAAATATTTTGCTCAAATGTGGAATTGGAATAGAAATTGGCAAATGAAATACAAGATTAGACTGAAGATCTTAGTCCATTTTCTGTTTTAACTTAAACTGAGATGAAAATCCCTGGACCCTAGTAATATAAATATTTTAATTAATTTTGTTTTTTATTACAATGTTACTTACACTATTGTCACTAAAAAAATCACTCTGATATAGTGGCAAACCAGAGCTTTTTTAGAATCAGTTCATTTTTAATTTCCTAATTTACTCAAGATTTAAACCAATTTCTCAAGTATGATAATGCTGGTATCCAGGATACTTTACTGGTCTACTTATAGGACTCAAAAATGAACTTGAGGGAGAGTCTAAAAAACTCTCTGCTTTGTCACTATGGATGCTAGTATCCAGGATACTTTACTAGTCTACTTATAGGACTCAAAAATGAACTTGAGGGAGAGTCTAAAAAACTCTCTGCTTTGCCACTATGCAGTGATATCATTATATCATTTATATGCAATCATTGCAATGCAACAAATAGTCTGAATTCTGAAAGTGACATCCATGATCCAGATACAGACTTACGTCACAGATCAAAAAAATTGCTTGCTTTTGCAATTAAAAAGTTATGGGCCTTAGCCTACGTCCTACTTAGGCCTATCTGCAATAATCAGCCTAACGTCAAAGTGATCAAACATAATTTTTAACTATACAGACATTATTGAGACATACGTTTGTTAGCGATAGCCTTACCAGTAGTAACTAACTATACTATGACAGTAGGACTTACGTGGTGTAACTACAATTTTATTTATTTTTGCTAGTTTAGTCTGTCTCTGTGAAGGCGGTGCAGAAACTAGACTTCGAAATGATGTAGCATTATTAACATTTGAAATAGGACGAACTAAACCACAAACACGGAAACAGGATGAATATCTTCTTAAATGCGAACAACTTTTCCCCGAGGAAATCATAATGAATAAACAGTGAACAGACTAACGTCAACAGACGAACGAAGTGCCGAGACAAAATGAGCGCAGCAATTGCGACTGCCGGCATACGAATTGAAAGTCCGGGCTCCGGATTCTGGAACACACGCATCAAATGCCCGGAAAGCCGACCTAAAGCACGAACACCGGAAGTAGTGGTAGCCATGATTGAGTAATTGACGTTGTTGCGTTTTATATTGAAACGTACAAACAAAATTTTGCGCAAGTCCACCATCTCATATTTTACTTTCTGAACGGATCTGAATGAAATTTAAAACATGTTACCAAAGCATAGCGCTAGTCTATGAATTTTTACGTTACGTGATCGCTATACGGGGCGGGGCATAGCTGGAATTGAGCAGGGTGAATAAGATTTGAAAATAATAAGCAATTAGAAGAGTGGAAGGATATGGGTGAAGAAGCATGGGATGGAGAAAAGTGACATTCGCAGAGTACGAGAGTAAGAAGTGATGTGTAATGACTAATGAGCGGGCAGAGGCTGTCTAGTCCTGCAGATGAGTGAATATAAAGACGGGGTTGGAATGCCATTGAAGCCTAGATTTTCATTTGTTATTCACGCCTATTCTTCAGTCGCTTCGGATATTCACGAGAATACTTTTCAAGTGAAAATTACTACTAGTTGGCTAGGGAGACGAGAACTTTCTATCGAGTTTATTGATAAATGAATGCACGTTGCGCTGATGACTTGTCTAAAAATATGACCGGTAGTTGACACGCATCACAATCCCAATAAGACGGTCGTATTAGGCAGTGGTTTGAAGATATATCTTCTAGTACTTCGACCATCCAAGTTGACCGGCAAGTAATATTTAGATTAGAATTTAAATGCATTAGTTAGCAGATATGTCGTGGAAAATATTTCTCGCAAGGGGGCAATGAACGAAAAAGTAAGCAAACCACAACTGACGCAGATTCATTCATTCTGTTGGGGTTCGCAAGTCTTGAACGAGTTAAGTGTAATATACAACGCATTATAAAGTGAAGGGAGTAGTCTGCTACAACGTAGCCAGAGGGGTGAATAATGCTATGCAATAGCACAAGAGTAACAAACAATAAATTTCATTTTCAAATGTACTAAAATTTGATAATGGTAAAGTTGAATAAACTAATTGTCTAGCTCATTCTAAGTTATAGAATAGAAAAATACTCTACCACCTCTAGAGTGAAAGAATTGTAAGAAGGGATAATCACAAACATCGTTTAACAGCAACCATGGAGAAAGAGATATTTAAACTAATTCCTCGCATGCTCCAGCTCGAAACTTGCATATAGAAGTGCGCTCCCAGTACAAAACATCAACGAAAATTTCGATCTATTAGATTCCAGTCAATCATATTATCGGAGGATACAGCAACTTTATAAAAAAATACGTTCTTATTACATATGCCCTTTTCCGAAATGACGTAATCTATTGCGCAAAAATTCAGAGCCAACCCTTTTACTCGAAATAGTAGAATATATGGAGTGAAAATAACACTAGGAATCGAATAATAAGGGACCGAGGTACAGATCATGTTGACAGCTCCGATCGCTCAACTTACGCGACTGGAACGGGTAGCTCAGCCAATTACAGCCTTACAGGAAACCATTTCATTTCAAAAGAAACATATTTTCATTAATTCTCGCATGTGCTGAAATTTGGGTACATGAATATGTCAGCTTAATTGTCTTCATCTCCAATCCTGGGCGCGAGGTAGTAGCGAATGTGCCCGATGTCTTCAATCTTGTACTCCACAACCAGCGGCACGTCAGGGGACATTGACAGGCAAACCTGGTGGAAGAAAGGTTCGAGAGTTGTTTTTTAATGCAAACACGGAAGCATTCTGATTACCTGAGCGCCAAGAAGTAGTTTCATATTATAAATAAACATTTCATTTATTAGTGGGGTTGAAATCTAGATTGATATAAAAGAATTCTTTTGTTTGAAACTACAAGTAACCTAGTAAATGTCCAAATCGCATCTTTTTCTTCATCAAGATGTTTGCAAAACATAAATCATGTATTTTTGGCAAGTCAAATATTAGACAACTTCCCGCAGTGAGCTTGTCTCCAGTGAAGCTGTTTTCAATAAAGTGACCCTGGAAGTATTGAAGTAGGGACCAAATTTGGTAATGATACCTGGGGGCTGAGGGGCGTAGCCTTGGTGAACATATTAAGGTACTTGCAGGCGAAGGTCAGAGTGACAGGTTCCTGCATATCCACCATCACAGCATCTTCTTCCTTGTCTACAGTGGCCGTCTGCGCCAACTGCAATACAGTGAATTAAAGGTAAGACTTAACACTTGATGCCTTAGCCAACTGTTAAAAACTGTGTTAAATAAAAGACTTGGGCTGCACTCATCATACAGCCAATTTTTATAAGGTTTAGTAAAGGTGAAGCTCAGTCTATGCTCGCCATCTGGTGCAATTGAAATGAAGAGTTAAAAACAAATTTCAAGAATATGTCAATTTACATTTTAAAAATAATTTTTCTGAACAACAAAACCAAAAATTACAGGTACTGTCATCCAATTGAATGCAATTGTATACTCACATTGTGAGTGTAATTTTACCTTAATATTAGCAGTTCCGATGTCACCGGCAGCAGAGAATTTGACCCCCTCTTTAGTACAGCTGATAACGATGCTCTCCCCAAACTGGCTCAGGTCACGACAGATGCGAGCAAACTCCGCACTGGGCAACTTGATCACACAGCTGTATTCCGTTTCCTGTATAAGCAAAAACATTGAACTAACAATGAGGACAATAACAAAGCAAAACAATGAGGACAATGTCAAGCAATGAGGACAATTACACAGCAACGAGGACAATAACAAAGCAATGAGGACAATAACAAAGCAATGAGGACAATAACAAAGCAATGAGGACAATGTTAAGCAATGAGGACAATGTCAAGCAATGAGGACAATGTCAAGCAATGAGGACAATGTCAAGCAATGAGGACAATGTCAAGCAATGAGGACAATAACAAAGCAAAGGCAAATAACTGGTGGCCACCTAGCAATGAAATGAGAACAGGCCTTCTGATCACTAGAACATTTCATTCTCAAGAAAAAATTATAAAGCATTTATTGTGTTTCATTCTTAATCAATGTACATTCATTACCAAGATAAAAATTTTAGGTTACCAAACATGAATAACTCACAGGAATTCCAAGATGATCTTGATCTAGGTTTGTGAGTTTCATTTCATAGTCAGAAATTTTCTCTTGTTTTGGTGATTCAAAAACAAAAGTGACAGTGTCTGCATTGTCCTGGGCCTTCATGGTGATGATGTCATCATTGGAAGCACATTTCAGGATCTTGGACATGCTGCAAAAAAATATAATAATAATAAAAAAAAAACATTTTTAAAACATTACAATAATTCTAACCAGTTTATCCAAGCATGATATTTGAAATACAGGAAACTGTTTGACTAAAATAAAAACATCAGGTAACACAGTTATCTTATTTGTTCATTAGACTGAAACTTTGATTGGAAGTTTTGTTTTGAAAGTTTTAAAAGATTGAACAGACATTCAGTATTGGGATCAAATACAGATTTAACATGCCCCAATAGAGCCAATACTGAAAATAAAAGCTGCACTACTGGTGGTATGATTCATCAAATTAATATTTGACTCTTGAGTAAAATATGCATTCAAAAATTACTTGTAAAAGGTTTTTTCAATTTTCAAAATTTGTCAAATTATTTATTCTGTCCATTGATTCATGCATTGTCACCAACCTTACGCAAATGTGCAAAATTTCAGATTGATTGGACAGGTAGTGTGTTAAATATAAATTATAAGACTTGTAGCAGACAAACATGAAATGAAGTTAAAGAGAAGTGTTGCAATAATAATATGGCATAGCTTTCTACCACCAATCAACATGACAATAGCTACGCCATCATAAAGACATCAATAACGAGTATTAAATATAACAAATAGCCACCCTTGCACAAGACATTTTTTAGCCAATTCTGGAATATCCAGGGTCCATACTGGTATTTAGAAAATTCCACTTTCCCATGACTTTCCATGACATCAATATAATTTCTTAAGACTCATATATGACAGGTTTAGCATGACTGAAAGATTAACCAAACATATTCTATCATCTCCTACAGTTGATAAATAGCTAACGTCTGTAACATGCAAAAGCACTAGGGTTGGCAATGATTAAATCATGTGATTAAATCACTTGATTTTTTTCTAATTTTTAGTGAATTTTCTCATTTATGAAAAAAATGCACTATTGTGCTTGCCATGTCCGCCTGTCCATCTGTGACTTTATGTTTTTGTCAACAAGAAAATGTGCACTCTGTCACTCACTGCAGTGAGTACTGAGTTATATTTTGAGGTAATGTTATTCTGGTTTAGCATAATGGTACTATGACAAATTAGAATATAAACCTGTTGCCTTTAGTCTAAGTGAGTATTATGTTCCATTGAATTGTATGTTTTTGGTACAGAGGCATCAAGTGTTGCAATATATTGTACATATAACATAGCTAGTAGCATAGCTAATATGGCTATAAGTAGTCTTTGACTATTTGTTATATATTTATTACATTATAAAATTTACGTGTGTTAGCTAGTTTATATAAGAAGGGTTGGTTGAGATTGTATTGACCTTTAAGGGGACCTACCTCCCTCCATGAAAACTTCTACAGTTATTATCCGATCATCGTGAAACTTCACATACAGACATAAAATGTAAAAAAATAACATTTTGCTCATACGAATTTTCCGAAAAAATGGACAGAAAACGTGACATTCATAGAAAATGACCAAAAACGGGTACTATAAAAATCTATCTCCTCCTACAAATATCGTCCTACAACATCAAGACACATATCATTCGATTCGTAAAGACCATACCTATCAACTCTGCCATTCTTTTTTTCATTTTCCCCATAGTTTATTTTTTATGCGCGTCTCTCCCATTTTTCCACTTTTTCCCAGCCCTCCCCCCCTTCTCCCCCATACAGAAGACAAACTATGCACAAATTCAAAAAAAAAAAAGGGATGGCTAGATTGATAGGTATGATCTTTACGAATCAAATGATATGTCTCTCATTGCTGTAGCTTGAAAACTGTAGGAGGAGATAGGTTTTCAAAAAGACAAAAAAACAAAAATTTAAATTGTTCAGGGGAGCCAAATAAAGTAAAATTCATTGAAAACAGAAGAATATGCCCAAAAAAGTCTTGATATTGTAGCCCAAGCTTTCCCATTGCCAATTATTTGCATTCAGGATACCAGCAAGCGTCTTTAGACCTATTTATGTCAAATTTAACGTGAATAATAAGCTATAAATTGGACATTTTATATATAAATATATATATGAAATATTCATTTTACATAACTTTACAACTGCATTAAGCAAAAACTATTGCATGTACATCAATGGTAGTAGCTTTCAAACAAGTGCAAACACTTTGCAATTAACCTAAATAATGACATATAAATACCATTTATTAGTAAATGATGTTATAAAATGATCATTTTATAAAAGTTTAAGACTGCATTACATGAAAAAGTATTGCATGTACATATGTGGTAGTAGCTTTGTTGAACGCGTTTCGTTTGTAGCTTTCAAACGAGTGCAAACACTCATTAATTAACAAAAGTAATGATCTATATATACAGATTTAATTCAAATAAATCTTTGTACATATTGTTAAAAAATGTTCATTTTATATATTTTTAAAATTGTCTAACACAAAAACTATAGCACGCACAGACATGCGGTAAACTGCGTTAAGACGCGCTTTTTCAGCAGCTACAAAATGAGTCAAGAAAACGGAAAAGCCAAAGTTTCTGATTTTTAGGGAGGCCAGTCTCCTTAAGGCATTTAGAAAGATTTTCACCCTAACATGAGCATTCTAATTAAAATATTTAATTTCAATCTTTAAATATGTGAATTTATAACTAGAAACAAACAATTACAATTATAAAACTATATATAAATAATTAAATGCAGTAAATGAAAATAAAATGTTTGAATTGAATACATATTTATTATTTATTTCAAACAGCGTTAGCTTTTCTCATAAGTCTCGTTTCAAGTCATTTGATGTTTGTTTGGTTGTCATTCAGTTAATGTTTAGTACATAGTGACAAACCAGAGATTTTTTAGAATCAGTTCATTTTTAATTTCCTCATTTATTCAAGATTTAAACCAATTTCTTGAGTATGATAATGCTGGTATCCATGATAGCTACTTTACTGGTCTACTTATAGGACTCAAATACAAATTTGAGGGAGAGTCTAAAAAACTCTCTGCTTTGCCACTATGGTTTAGTATTGGTTTATTGGTCTGAATCAAATGGGAACAAAGCAGTCAGTTACTCAGTCACTACTAGTCAGTGTGTTTAGAGGGTAGAGTCTGGTAGATTTATAGGACATAAAACTAGTAGATCTATTGATAGTGCTGTGCACTGTTGACAGTGCCATTAGCTACCTATCTGTTTTGTGACTCTTCAATGTTTAGAAGATCTGCATTCCTGAAGTGTTGTGTATTGAAGCCAGTTAAATAGTCAATATTTAGCTTGTTACCTTGCTCCATACAAAATTTACAAAGCTAATGAATAGACTTATCAATAATTGTTTACCTAAAAGTCCCAAAGTGGTAAACACCACCTTGGCCACTCTTGAAGGCAATAACTGCCCTTTTTAGCCATCCATATACTGTTATTGTTAGTAGGCTAATTGCAATATAAATAAAACAAATAAAAAACTTGAAAAAAAAAACACGTTTTCTTAATGGTCAAAAAAGAATAACATTTACTCCTACATAACATTTAAGTTATGTAATGTTATGTAAGAGTAAATGTTTTTCTTTTTTGTCCATTAAGAAAAAAATTTTTTATAGTCAGATGGGGTAAGACAGGACCGAAATCACTAACAAGCCTGTAGCACCTATACCATGAATAACTAAAAAACCCTAAACCTATCACAAGGTGTATCTATGCAATGGGCTTCTAAGCTACAACTCAAACGTTTTGCATCTAACATAGTTTTCTGTACAAATTAAAAAAAGTGAGCTGGTCCCATCTTACCCCACTGGGGTAAGATGGGACCGGGCCTGGGGTAAGACAGGACCAAGTGGTAATTCTTATGTTACAAGGTTTTTAAATAAAAGTACAAATCTGATATTCAATATTATCAACCTAGAAATATATGATAAGAAAATTAGAAATATGATTAAACAACCACTGGTTAATGTTTTGTGTTGAAGGAAGTCAACTCTAATATCAGTCACATTGGAGTTTTTGTCATGAGAAAACTTTGTTAAGCATAGTAATAGTGGGTTGGCTTTGGTTCATTGTAAAGCACTGCTAAATGCTTCATGTATATTCCATTAGTGTCATTGTCTGAAAAATTTATCAAATTGGTAATAAAACCAATGGATAATAACTTAAGTGTCAGACGTCATGTGTTTTCTTGCTAACTGCATTTGTGGTGCACTTCTTCTAATGTAGCCCATGCCCTCTCACTAGTTGTGATAATAATTATTTAATAATTATTTTTCATGATTCACACAGGGATTTTTCCCCCAGCCAATCTTGCACATAGTTTTGCAGCTCACTAATGGGAAGAGACAACCCTATTTTCTATATCCATTTGATGCAATTTAAAATAGTGCACTAAATTTCTCTAATTAAAAAAGCTAACAAGTTATAATGAAGTTTGAGCCATAGATACAATTTTTGACCAAAATACTCCATGTACTGCACAATAATATATTAATTTAAAAACTATTTTTGATAAACTGTACCTAGGTTAATAGAGGACTATTTGTGGGGGAAGACAGGACCATTTGTGGGGTAAGATAGGACCACTTGTGAGGTAAATTAGGATCATTTAGTGGTCCTGTCTTACCCCATGTCCGGTCCTTTTTTACCCCATTTTAGAATACATGTCAGGCAGTGATGGTAGCAGGTAGGAATGCCTAGTATGTCTCTAAAGTTGCTTATTACTTGAGGTTACCAGCCTACGTCCACAAATCTGGCCAAAAAATTTTTTGTCATTAGACAGAGCTTATTTCCCAAACAGGGTTAACTATTTTGTGATCCTTCTTTACATAGGTTTTCTTTAAAAATTAGCCAGAAATTCATTATTTGCAGAAGAGGGTTGAAACAAGCAATGAAATGACAGGCAATGATTGTTCTAACATATTCTTTTGTCAAATTAAATTCAGTGCAATTAGAATGCATGCCATGGGCAGGTCCTTTCTTACCCCATGAAGGCTGCGATCCTGTCTTACCCCAATTGACTATATTTGTTTTATTTCATTATTTTTAGTTATGTAAAAACCAGAAAAACATGGTTTTTAAAAAATATTTTTTATATTTTTTTATTTTCTACTTCTTAGTTAGCAATTTTAGTACAGTAATTGAAATCAATTTCCAAGGTTGGCAAGTGTGGATGTTTGAGAAAAAACTCAATTCCAAACAATGAATTTTTAGTGTATTTTTTATATTATTATTTCTGATGATTAAATCTTGAATTGTTAGGCAGCATAAGCATGCATGCCAAATTTAAAGCTTCTAGAATGTTCAGAAGAGCTCTAAATTAAGGTCTGAATTCTTGATGACAGACAGACATGAAACTAAGTCAAGAAAAATGTGGTAAAAATAACAGTTCAAAAAGACAAAAAAGCTGAAATAAAATACTAAAAAAAAACTAAAAAGTAGAAAATACAATGTATAAAAAAAATTTTTAAAGACCACGTTTTTCATGTGGACTCAAAAGTAGAAAATAATTTTTAAGCCAATTTACTCGACTTGATGTACGTATTGATGATACGAAGAGTATCATCGATATACGCAGTCTAAACACGAATATCCTCTCGAGGATGACGTGCATTAAAGGTTCCAACCCCTGCTTGTGAGTTCCTTTAGAGTTTATACACCTGGAAACGTGCAACAAATTATTGATTATTGTATTGTTATCGGGAGCTGAGCTTCCCTAAAAGTTTCAGAGCGCTAGCTAATGGGAAAGTTGATGAAATATCGATTGCAAGATTTGATCATCACAGACACGAAAGCGAGCTAAGAAAAACGTGGTAAAAATGCAAAAAATCACCTACCCTGCTTTTTAGGCATTAAGAAAGATTTTACACTCTAATATGAGTATTACAACTGAAGTATTTAAATTTCAATCTTTAAATATGTGAAGTGATAGCTAGAAACGAAATAATTACAATTATAAAACTATACTGTCAAAAGGAATAAGGGACTGGTGGGGTAATAAGTGACGGTCCTCCAACATCTTGTAGAAATGTTGCAGCAGATAAACTAATCAAAATATTGCAAAACTAAAAATAGTGGCATAAAGTTCACCATTTTTACTATTGATGCAGCATAAAGCAAGTTGAGAAATCATACATTTATTTCTTCTAAAAAATCCTTGAAAAAAGTGTGAAAAGTGAGATTTTGGAAAAGTACCTTTGCTAAGGTCTGAAGCAGAAAAAATATTTGTTAATTAAAAAATTTTACTTACATAAAAGTTGCACACTGGTGTTGGCTTAAAAATGTGATCGACAGAATTTGCATATCTCATTCCAAGAAAAATGGCAGCCATTTAGGCAAAAATGGGGACACAAATCTGAAAATCAAGCCCACACTGGTATTATTATCAAAAATGCTCAAATGCGCATTGCCGGCATTGGTTTTCTCATCACTGTGTTGCTTAGCTAGCTAACTTAGTGGGTTTGCTGCCTTTGGCATGGCTCTTCAAAGATGCTTCCTCCATATTTGGCACACCAGTCTTTCAAGCACAATGTACATATTGGCATATTGCCATACCTTCATGCTTTGGATGGCAAGTAAGCCACTATTGAGGAAATTAAAAATGAACTGATTCCAAAAAAGCTCTGGTTTGCCACTATGGTCCATGACTTCACATTTTCATTGATGAAAAAATGCACTCTGTCACTCACTGCAGTGAGTACCAAGTTATTTTTTTTTAATTTGTGAAAATAAAGAGAAATGACATTTATGTACAAAGTTTTTAGTTTTCAAAAATAACACATGGACAGGCTGGAATTCTAAGAATGGAAGTTCACTTATAAAAAAGCTTTCCACCCAAGGTGAAAAGCTTTCCTTGGATACAGTGCTCTGCCAGCCTGCCAGGAGACTGACTAGGTATAAATGAAAAGGAGGATCAAAAGTGGACAAAATGTTTCAATTGTATAGTACATTAGATTTGTAATAGAATTATTTGGATGTCTCTTGTTTGATAGATGTTGTTCATTTGTCTGTTATTTAAAGGATTTTTAAAAAAATTTCTAGGCCTTTTGTTTGTAATAATCAAGTTTCAGTTAAGTATTTAGTTAACCAGTACTGTAGATAGTACATATACCATACTTGGAAGCTAGTCTGGAAAAGTCCTATTTTTGTCTGAAATATTGCGGCTCTAATATCATATAATTTCAGTAGGTATGAAATCTCGCGGCTCGAATGTCATAAATTTTTCTTTGATTAAAAAATCGCGGTTTGCACTTGGCAAACATGTCATTTCATAAAATTTTCAACTTCCGCAATCCGCATTGCTTTACCGTTTCCGCCAAAAATATCTTGCAGAAAAAACATAAACATCGTAATGTAAACAAATAAACAAAACGTTTGTTGAAGATCGCGCATAATTGCGGTCATGTCAAAGCGGTCAGACTGTATAAAATCCATAAAACCACGGCTTGAAAAATTCAGTCGCGGCTCGCCAAGTAGATATATTCCATACTTAGCATACTAGCTTGGAAGTGGGGCTTATGGGCACAACCAATCACAGCTTTAAAGCATCCCCATCAACCAATCACAGCCTGAAAGCATTTCCATCAACCAATCACAGCTAGAAAGCAGATAACATTACAATTCCATTACCCAATCACAGCTGGAAAGCTGAAAGTGGCTAATATCACAAACCAATCACAGATGGAATTCTGGAAAGGTATAGGATATGCAAATAATGGACTGAAAGTGTAAAGTTCCTGGCCTTTCCAAGCTTTCAGGTCCTGCTTTCCAATATGCTATGTACACTCACTGCACTGGTTAATTTATTATCTCTCTAGAATTCCACACTCCATCCATGCGGCATGGATGATGGAGCAACCACTTTAACCATTGACTTTGGGAAAATTTTGCTTTTTTCAGACTACCTAGAAACTGCACTCAGTAAAAATAAAATTCTTTGCCGTTCTCTGGAGTCTGGCCTTTGTTGTAGGTTAGTTTAGGCCTACTTCTAAGTTCTAATGTGAATAGTTTTAGTCTGACATAACTCAAGAGATTGAATTTGCTTCAAGCAGAAACTATTAGCAGTACCTAGATAAATTTCACACGGGAAGATACCTGATTATTCCCGTTTCACTTTCAGGGTTTCTAAAGTTCTGAGTCCAGACTCCAGAGACAACAAACAGTTTATCAGAAATTATCAGTAATTCACAATAGATAAGCTATAATTTACCTCACCTTGATAAGTTCATGCCCATGACAAGATTTCTGTCGCATCTGTATTTATCAAAGCCTTCTCTTCTCAAATTAAGGGAAACTAATGACACATGAGAGTTGTCCATAGCTTGCAATAAAATGCCTGAATGTGCACAATCAAATGAAGCTTCATTTAAAAGCTCTTTGATGGCTTCCATAACTTTCTTGAGCAGAGCGCCCTGAACCAATCGTGCCTCAAACATTGTGATACCTAGGATTAGAGAAAAACCTTCGGAATATATTTAAAGGTGAGAATAACTTTTAACTCTGTGAGATGTGCGCACCAAGTCGTCTCTTTCGGCAATGGCGCTAAGATTTCCCGCCTCACTCTACTCGGAGGTCACATTTCGCGGGAGCGTTTATGATTGGCCAGCTGCGACAAACGGAATCATGATTGGATGAAAAATTCAAGGAAGGAGTTATTATTAACAAACAATAATCAACAACATCAAAATGATATCCTATATAGTTCAAATGATATACGAAATGCAATTGATTAAAAATGATATAATTTGATGATCAAAGTTACTCAAGTAATGACATTTATATATTGGTATTATGAAATAATCATAGATTAGTTACTCTATGATTAAATTTACGATTAAATAAACGAACTGAGCAATTTTTAACTTAATTCGTTGTTTATGTTAAAATAGCTACAAAGTAAAATTTCAGTTGTAATGCACATAACTACAAATTTAAAACATTACACAACATATTTGGCATAATGATTGTACAACATATTGGAGGAGTCATAATCATGGGAGGGTTTTATTGGGTGGAATATTTTTTCCCATTACTCTGAATGAATTAAATAGTAGTAGAAGGTTTATAAGCTCTTCAGATAGCTATCTATTTAGCCATGGTTGAACCATGCTATTTAGCTATCTTCCAGGCTTGCAACCTGATCGATTTAGGCGCAGGTGTTGGTGGTATATTCGTTGCTCACGGGGGTGGATAGCTAGAGCCTAGAGGTCAGCATAGCTCAAGTCCACAGTGCGATTCATATACCTTCCCGAGCGTAACGCAGCCGGGCATATTCACGGCTTTCGACACATAGCGCCCACCACAACAGCGCCTTTCAGTCACAGGCACTGGTTCACAGCGCCGGAGCACAACTGGCCGGTGCGCAACAGGCCCTAGTCCCTACCGCATAAGCCACTCCTAACCTAACCTTAACTGCGCCGCCTGTTGCGGTAGGGCCTGTTGCGCCGACCAGTTTTGCTCCGGCGCTGTGAAGCAGTGGCTGTGTGTGCAGAGCGGATTTACTGTTAGCCGGAGTTACCCACCCAGCACAATCCAGGGTGAGTCATTGGTACAATCCCAGGAGTGCCATTGGTGAGTATTCATTTCATATCATAGTGATGTCGGCGCTGAAGAATAAGTCTGGTATGGCCCGTCGCCGATTCTTGTACCTACTTTTCTTGACTTGTTAATAGGATATCTAAAACAGGTCATATGACCGAATGTTTTCAAAACCGACGATATTTTGAAATAGCTATAACTAATAATAATAATAATGATAATAATAATAATAGCGGTTTCAGCGTTTATTAGGCCGTAGGCCTGTCACTGAATCTTAACATCGCAGAACATTCACAGCATTTTGCGGTCTCGAACTCGCAACTCACTGCTACAATTCTGCTGATGCTTAACCGCCCGGCCTCCTTGCCGATTCTGACCAGAAACTGGCTCACAGAGCACTGGAATCGAACCCGCGCCTCTCTGCTCCAATCCTGGTACTCTGAACTGTGACCACCCCAGTGGTCGTAAGTTAGCGAGCGTAAGCTCTCTAACTTAGAAACTCTGCCCCTAGAATATCTCTTATTCAGTGTGTTAAGTGTAAGAGTGAAGTCATGTCAGAGACATTGCAAGTTTTGAGTAATCAATCTTCATTAAGGGGAGCGTCTTGGTCCGAAAAAACTTTTTTATTTACGGACGGATCACTTCGAAATTTAATACACGTATGTAAAACGCAATTCTAAGACTTTTTTGTTCATGTGAATTTTTCGAAAAAAATGAAAGAAAACGAGAAATTATTAGAAAACGGACAAAAAAGGGGGTACTGTAGAAATATCAGCGGACCTAGGATTTTTAAGCTACAACATTGAGACACATATCATTCGATGCGTAAAGACCATATCTACAAATTGATGTAGGCGTTTTTTTGAAATTTCCGATTTTGTGGGTGTGGGAGCATTTTTTGTAAATTTTTCGGAAATTTTTCGATTTTACCCCATTCCACCCCCCCTTTTTGCAAAATAAAATACAAACTATAACGAAATTAGAAAAACGCCTACAGCAATTTGTAGATCTTTTCTTTGCGAATCGAATGGTAAATGTCTCATTGCTGTAGCATCGAAACTGTAGGAGTAAATAGGTTTCCAGTGACAATAAGTGTGAATGTTCAGTAGAGCCCGACAAAGTCCCGGGCGCCTCGAAATCAGCATTCAACAGTGCAAAGAATGAGACTAGACGATCCTGGAGCTCAATTTCTGTCAAGGATGGTACGAGCGACGGTGCAATAACCACCCCGTACGACTGAAGCAAGGTTACTGGAGCTGAGTGTCTGTAGATAAGTGATTTATAGAGCACTGCGGGAATTATTACCCATCTTAAATGTGAAAGAACTCCCCCACCCCCCTCCCTTTCGGGATCTGTCGTGAACGCATAAATCAACGTACAGAAATGGTTTTGGTACCGTTGGATAAGTCAGAATGTCAGCTTTAAGATGAGACTAAAAACAGGAAAAGCCTAAATTGTCGATTTTGGACCAAGACGCTCCCCTTAACGTAGAATCTCATGTGACATATAGCTCATTTGTGAAATGGTGTTGTAAATAGTGTATTAACATTGCCCTGTTTCGCAGTGTCCCCACATCGGCTAACATTCGGCCCCTGCAACGCATAAACTCAAGAGTCAAGACCACGTGCCTCCGGTAACTTCTCTACGCGCCTCCAGTAACATCTCAACGTGCCTTCGGACATTTAATCACGTTCCCGCGTAAGGACAACGTCGGAAACATTACGTGCCTTCAACGACGCCATCTTCCTCTGCGCGGCGACGCCAGCTTCATCTGCGTGCCGACGCTTCTCCACGTGCATTTAGTGAATCTTCCCCACGTGCATATAGTAAATCTTCTCCACGTGCATCCAGTGAATCTTCCCCACGTACATTCAGTGAATTTTCCCCACGTGCATTCAGTGAACTTTTCCCACGGGCATTTAGTAACACGAAAACGTGCTTACGGTGTAATCTCCTTATTATCTCCACGTGTGGCCGCGTCACCACGTGTTTCGGGTAACGTCTTTTCGTGTGTCGGCATCGCTCTATCATCTCTGCCTTGCAACGTTTCCAAGACGACGTCACGTCCACGACGTCTTACCACGCAACCACGTGTAGCACGTCGACCTTCACCACTGGCCTGGCCTTCCAACTCCCTCCTGGATCATTGTCAGTTATGGAAAGATCGGGTTCCAAAGGCCGGATCCCTTGTGAATCAAGTCACGAAAATTTCAAGAATCGGCAACAGGCCATGGGCCTATTTCTTCAATGACGACACTTCTATTCTATCATCACATCGAGCAGGTCACATGAGCTAAAGCAATAAATTTACTATATCAATTTATTGTGTTTTACTTACCCGACCAGTTTCGTCTTGCCGCACCTAAACATTTCCATCTGAATTTAGTGAATGATACAAGAGGTATTGGCCTTAAATAATCCCCTGATACGAGTCTAATACGATATATATATGGATAGGTAACGTAAAAAAAACATATTGTCGTGTGGATGAGTTGCAACGCCGGTTTTCAGTTTATAGCCGTGGCTCTGGTGTTGGTTCTTGTTTATAATTCTACTGATCATTCCGGGACCTTGTATTATGTTCAGATTTGAAATGCCTAGCTCCTTATCGAACCCGGTGGAAGTCTAGTAGCTACTTCAAACTATCGCCAGTCATGAAAAGATCCGATCAAATGATACGAGTTTAGATCTATGAACAAGGCACGAAAAGGAAAAGAATCGGCGACAGGCCACATCAGGCCTACATTTCAGCGCCGACATCATTATGTTATGTTGTATAAACCATGAGGATACTTGTACGTGCCACCATTCAGACGTCATTACCTCTGATTCTCAGTCAGCTTTGCAGGAAGTCAGCAATACAATCAACCCTTCATACAAGGAGTATGTTTACAAAATACAAGTTATCATCTATAAAAGGCAGGCCCCCATCATTCTGCACTGGGTTCGAGGGCACTCTGGGGTCAGGGGCAATGAAGTGGCAGACAGAGCAGCCAATATGAGTCATAACAATGCCCACTCAGCCTTAAGTACATTGAGCCTGGAAGAGTCCCTCACTGAGGCAAAATTCACAAGCACTGGACCAGAATATGGAAGGCCTCTGTTGCCTGCACTCAGAAGGGAACTTTTCTGAGCAACAACATGGAGTAACCCAGGCTGCGACCCTGGCTCTGCCTGAAGTCACGCAGACTAGAGTGTGCTGCTGCCCGACTCATAATTGGACATGCTGGCGTCAGAAGTCACTTGCACAGATTCAACATAGCGATTCTGACCAATGTACTACCTGCAACACAGTGGACACAATTGAGCACTATCTGCTGCATTGTCAGCGACACGCTCAGCCCAGACAAGACCTGAGAAAACTAAATTAAGATGTTTAAATGTACAATTTTCCCTGTGTGACCTTTTGGGGGGAGGGAACTTTAATGATGATGTGCAAAGGAAAATATTTCAATTTTTGACTGTTTACATTTTGAAATCAGGGAGGCTCAGCGAACTTTAGATAGGTGCCAAAATATCAAATGAAGCTTATATATGTATGAGTGTATAAATGTATATTGTATATGTTTGTGTGCGTGCATAATCTATGTCATCCTATGTATATAAATCCATCTAACTTAACTGTTAAATCTAGTGCTCAGTTCTAATGGTCATGTCATGTGTAACTTTTCCTAGTGACTGCACACAGTCATCTGTGTTCTGTGTGCATGTAACTTATCCATGTCATGTGTAAATTTTCTCTTACATGCTGTCAAGCTCATCCATCACCTCCATTGTCCTTGTACAAACAAGGACAAAGAGGCTAGCTTTCCATACCAAGAAGTCCAATATAACATAAGCTCTCAGGCCCAACGGTCATCCTTGTGGTTGTCCTGCGGCTTTCAGTCCACCCAACGTGGACACCTTGAAAAGAAGAAGAAGAAGTCATTACCTCTCATCCATGGGGCCTCACTCTTACCTTCGGTAGCGATATGAATGTGAAAAAGCTAAGTTAGAAGCATAAGTAGCTGTTATGTAGTTCGTTTTATATTTTGATTAAAAAAATAAATAAAATGAGGCAAATACGATTCAATCTCCGTTATTAACCGAGTATTGTAAATTTTATACAGAGATGACCAGTTTTTCATCTCTAAATAATCCTTGCTAAATTCAGGGTTCGGGAGCTCTCGGTATTCGGACTAAATTCTGCAGTTTTTCTGCCGCGCGGCATGAGCAGGTCGTGTTTTGACTCAATGCAGTTACGATAAGTCGCTATCAGCCCGTAATTTGCTAAACTGGATATTTTCGACATGACAAAAGAGAAGTAAGTGACTGAGAATACAATAAATGATAAATTATTTTCTTACATTGTCTATCTAACTTAACAATTTGAAAGTGTCAAACTAAATCAGTCTGAATGTGTATGTATGACAGTGGACTGACTATGCTCCATGGACAACCTTACCTGAGCCTGCCTGACGGACAGCCGGGACAGGTACTGAGGTAGTGTCGCAACCTCGCAAGTGACTTGAAGTGAGGTCACTGAGGACGAGTTAGACGTAGGAGTAGGACTGATACGTCTTACGTCATGGGACGCCTTTTTTTTTGTAAGCATGCTACATTCAACAGTATGTTCTACTGTTCTAGCACAATTTTCCTGTGCCAATTACTGATCAGGTGTCATTGGCTGAGCCTATTTTGGAATTTGTATACTAATAAGTAGAATCTCGTTGCTCCAAATCCAATTTCCATAATACAACAATATCAGTTTAAGCCTTTAAGGTTTTAAGCATTTATATTGTCTCATGTCAGTCACTTAGGTATTTGTAACATTGCGAAAGTTTACAGCTTTTACAGTCTCAAACTCAAAACTCTAATTTGGAACATTGGGCACAAGTTCCCTAAAATCATTTGTAAAAAGAAATGTTTGACAATTAATTTTCAAAATACCACATAAAAAATAGGCTGTTTTTCTTATTTTTTACTGAAGAAATTAGGTATTAGAAATTAGGAAAAGCTTCTGGGAATGGGGTAAATTGGCAAAATTTCTGGCTCTGGGCATTTTTGTCCAATGCATGGGTGGCTTGTGCCCACTGCCAATTGTCCAGTTTGGATGCAACTCACTGGCCACTGCTGCTAGGTATTTTGCTTTTGCTGAATGCTGAACCTGAGCTAACTGCCCAGACTGCTTGCCAACTCTGACTAGAAATTGGGACACATAGCTGGGAGCCTGGGATTGAGCCCATAGCTCTCTGCTGAACTTTAGCAGAACTGTAACAACTAGGCAGAAGCAAACTTTTAAAATGAACTGTAGGGTAAATCATGCATAGTGGCAAAGCAGAGTTTTTTTTAGACTCGCCCTCAAGTTCATTTTTGAGTCCTATAAGTAGATCAGTAAAGTATCCTTGATATCAGCATTATCATACATAAGAAATTAGTTTAATTCTTGAGTAAATGAAATTATAAATGAACTGATTCTAAAAAACCTCTGGTTTGCCACTATGGGTAAATGCGGTATATTCCAACACATTAAGGACGTAGCAAAAAATGAATGGCTATAAAAAAAGACCGTATGCGCAACTCTAGTTCTGTTTGCTTTATGTCACTCTCAAAATCCCGCACTACGCGCCAGCAACAATGAAACGTCACAAACTGTTGCCATATGTATTTAAAAGCCTTTGGAATGCAAATCTACCAAATCCATATATTCTGACACTGTGTGTGACAAAATTTGGCATTTTGTGAGACTAATTCTGGCCACTCGTCAAACTCTACTAATTCGTAATTCCGACCCTCATGTGTTTGAATTCCAATGGCTGTGTGAGCTGTATTGTAATACAACACAGCTTGGAATTGGAACACTATTGAATATTGAACACTACTTAATAAGGCTTTTAATTAAGAGCTATTAGGCTTTTAATTAAGAAAATTTTAATTTTTGCACACAGCTCGGAATGAGCTGTGTGCATCTAATTCTAAGCTGTGTTGGATTTAGTTTTTATGTGTCTAAAACCATCTCTTAACTTAATCATCTATTAATTTATTTACCACTTGAAATCAGCAAATACAAGTATACTTAAAGGATTCCTAATATATTCACAGACTTATTTAAAATTCTCAAACCATAATATTCTTTCTACACAAACAGTTTATCACTATTTGGTAGAGCAAGGTCTACTATCAACTTTGATACTTTTTTTTGATGTTCTCACTGGGTGACTTGCACTGTCTCTCTTTGGATCTCAACATTTTCCTGCCAGACGGCCCAGACCTAGTGTTTTGGCAATAGTATGGCGCGCAATAGTATGACTTCACTATTTCAACCATCAATGAATGCGTGGAACTAAGACAAAGCTTAATATAAAGGAAAAAAGTTGAAAAGTGTTGGAATTACCCACGATGTAGGAATATACCGCATTTACCCTAATTAAATTTATTTGATGCTAGAATGAAAATATATCTTTGTTTAACTTTTTTGTCAGCAGATTATCCTGTGAGATTTGCTGTTGACTTCTCATTGATGGTTGTTGTGCTCTAATCACCATACCGAAGTTCTTCAGGCCATTAGTTTCTGGCTGCAAGTTTTGAGGTCTTGAAGTTAATATCATTTTCTTACTCCAAAATGAATAAGTTACAAAAGTGTTAATGGAGATTTTTCTTTTTGCTTTTTTTCTTGGATTTCATGAAAGAGATTCTATGATCATCTTGGCATTAAATTAGTTATATCTATTGTGCTGTTTGAGAATTAAGGTTCTACATTGGCCAAGTTTATTTGAAAAAATGTATATAGGGTATACATAAATTCAAGTCTTACAATATGAATATATTCAAAACATTTAATTACTTTGTATTGTAAATACTGTCAAATGGGTAATAAGGGATGGGCAGGATAATAAGGGACAGTCCTTTGACATTTCATAGAAATGTTGTAGCACCTAAACTAATTAAAATTTTGCAAAACAAAAAAATAGTGCCATAAAGTTCAACACTTTTCCTATCTATGTAGCACAAAGTAAGTTGAGAAATCATACATTTACTATTACCTCTAAAAATCCTTGAAAAAAGTGTGAAAAGTGAGATTTTGGAAAAGTACTACCTCTGCTAAGGTCTGTAGCAAAAAAAAAAAAAAATATTCACCATTTTGAAAAATTTTGCTCACATAAAAGTTGCACTCGGTTGTTGGTTAAAAATGTGATTGACGGAATTATTGTATCTCATTCCAGAAAAAAATGAGGGACATTTCTGCACAATTGGGTATTAAGGGACACCCCTAAAAATGCATTTACAATAGAGCCTTGGTCAGCAAAGGCTCCAGTTGATAAAAAAATCAATCAAAAACAAATAATTTAGATTAGATTTACCTTGCTCAACAATAAAAATTTCACTTGACAAAAAATTAGTGCATCGGTCATTGCCTAATTGTGTATAGAATGTCATAGAAAGAATTGTTCACCAGGCAACATATAATGAAAAGTAATTAACCTAAACTATAATTTTTTTTCTCAGAAAATATGATGGATATCACTAAAATATTCCTTTGTGTTTTAGGTATGTATTTTTACAATTTTTTTTTGTTATAGTGAATTCACTTGATTTAATTAAAATGTTGCAAAATTTTAAGCTGTCCTGTAAGCTTACCTACAGAAGAAATGCTTCGTGGCTGCTGATATGAAGCTTGCAGTGGACAAGGTTGTTGTAAATGCTCAGTGGCATGTCCATGGATTAGGTAATTTCACATCAATAATACGGGAATGTAAGGATAAGGTAATATCACATCAATAATACGGGAATGTTAGGATAAGGTAATATCATATCAATAAAGAAAAATCACAGAAAAATGTAATTTATTCTACATTTAAATCATCTACAAAGGAAGAGGAGGACTTCAGAGTACTGTTAGTAATGGTTGAGCACACTCTGCATGCTTCAAACATTTTATTATTGAGTTTCATTTAGAGTGTCCCTCATTACCCCATTCCCAGGGGTGGTTCAGGAGGCTTTTATTTTGCGTTTGGCATCTTACAAATAGCTTATGGAATTTTTTCAGAGATGCCATATGATAGCCCTTGCCTACCTTTAAAATGAGGCCAAACTCGTTAATGAAATGTTTCATGGTAAGAAGTTAAGGAAAAATGCTCAAAACTGTCCCTTATTACCCCATTTGATGGTACATAAAGAATAAACCATAAGTTACCTGGTTCACAACAAATAGTATATAAAGTACCTAAACTAGTGTTGCTTGACACAAGTTATAACCATAATCATATAACTAATGTACAATTTTCTATCACAGGCTTGGTAATGAACTGCTATATAGCAGAATAGGCTACAAAGTTGATCGCTGGAAGTGGGTTCTTGACAGGCTCCCAAAAACTATTGACATCTCAAATCAAGATGACCTCAGTACAGACCCTGTGCTTTCTGCACAAGACCTGCAAGAGCTTGACCTCATAAGAGCATATGGTCTTGACAAAGTACCAAAAAGTCTTCCATGTCCGTAAGTATTGTATGCTACTTCTTAATTCTCTATTTAGATGTAAATGTTTTTACTGTAATAAATTAATTTTCTTCATTTACAAGCTAAGTATTATAATTACAATACCAGGAAAGCCACATTGCTAAATTTGTGTTTCTGATTGCACATTTCATATAAAATAATTTATAGATCTTAAGATGAATTTTGTTTTAAAAAATAAGTTTAAATTACTTTTTAATATACCGGTACCTAGAAATTTGTTCAAAACTAGTAAATTAGAAATAAATCAACCTTTTTAAATTGGAAACAATATTAATGTATGAAATTTTATTGCCGTACATATTTATTCTCTGCATTTTCATATTCTAGAGGCTAAGTGTAATTCACAAAAACAATTATAGCCTAGTTTCTTGTACTAATTACTACCAATAAGATAGTGCAGTGGGAATGTAACCACATTTTTAGTGCATTTTCTCAATGCACTATTGTGCTCGCCATGTCTGTCTGTCCGTCCGTTCGTGACCTCAAGTTTTCATCGACGAGAAAATGCGCTCTGTCACTCACTGCAGTGAGTACTGAGTTATATTTTTGCAGGAAGCGCTGCTCTCAGAATGTGTGGTGTCTTGCTAGCCTAAAAGCTGCCAGTGCTGCAGGCAAGTCAGGTTCTCGAGTGCCACTGCACCAGCAGGAGCGCACTGATCTCAACATGCCTGTGGGTCTGCAGAACACAGCCAACACCTGCTGGATCAATTCTGCCCTGCAACTCTTCTATCAACTCCGCAAATTTAGGTATCAAATATTGTCCTTGATTATTGGTTCTTTGGTATGCATCTTAACCCATTAACGACAATGATTCCCTGGAAAGTATTAAAACTTGTTTTATTTTAGGTATTTATTTAGATATCTTCTAATGAATTTTGAAGATAAATTCAAACTTTTTGTATTATTACTTGAAATATAGACAGGCAAGTATCTTGCCACCCTGCAATTAAAAAGTAGTATGCAAAAAGAAGAGTACAGGTAGAACAAGGAGAAATCTTAAGTACTTGAATGGATTAGCTAATGAAATCTCTGCCTATGTTGTCCACTTTGAGTTTGTTAAAAACCTTTCATCTAAAAGGTTTTCATACACTCTGAGGGTAGAGGAATGTTGCACATGCTGAAAAAATTAGTGGTACAGGGTGCCACATTCAGGGCCTCTGTTGTTTGGACTCTTGCCTTCATATGTCCTATGATGCTGACTGCCATACCAAATTGTATTCACAACAGACATTCAAACTGGACCTGCGTTTTCCAAAACCGCTACTCAAAAATTTCCTTTGGTTTGTTTTCAGATAACTGTTTTGTAGATGCATTGCTAAAATCCGTTACTAGATTTTGAACCTTGTTTTATCTATTTGTTTTGAGTTGATCGTATTGTACAGAATCGTCCAGAACAATAGTGAGCAAATTCTTGTTTCAAGGAGCTCTGGATTGCACATTACATCAGATGCATAACTGTAATGATCTGTTATGGCTTCAGGGATTTATTTTATTCTGGGAGGCTCTATCATTACTCTGACATTGTTCTAGTCATCTGCTTTTCATTTAATAGGAATAAATCATGAAGTACGTCAAGTGACTACCTAAAAACAAGAGTTACAATTAGTTACTACTAGTTTTCAAGTGGTATATGAACCACAGCACAACGCTGTGACTCGTTCAGAACATGTTAGGGAGGTACTTGTCTCATTACCATACTGTGAGACTCCATTTCAAACCACCACATACGTTATTTGGGAAAAATGTCATTTTCTCATATGGCAGTACGTATGCATGGGAAGTGTCGTTAATGGGTTAAGATTGCAATTAATTGATATTTATTTGTTTGAATTTTTTCTCATACATCTAGTATTGAGTGTCTAAGCTTCCTTGCTTGTATTACATTTAATTCTCTTGACCATAATTTCTGTACAAATAGCAATGCTTCACAAACACTGGTTCTTGATGCAGTTTTTCGTTATTATTCCATAGTTTCTCAGCTCATTTCTTATTCCCCTAATTAGAAATTCATGAATCAACAAGCAAAATATTGAGGGATGATTTTAACCAATAGTTTGTTACTCAATGAGCATCTGATGTCAATCTGTTGATTCACTGATATCAAGCACTAAATTTGTTTAGTGCTAAATAGTTTTTTAGTTTATTTGGTGCTAAATTTATTTACTGAGCCTCAAGTAGTCTCACATGTGTGCCTACAATTGTAATTTTTATTTACAGAATTGCAATCAATTCTGTTGAAGATTTTGATGGCGATCAAACTTTGGATTCACTGGTGTATCTTCTCCAAGTTGTCTTTGCTGAAATGGAAAGCCATCCATTCAAGTGAGTTACATGGTGGCATAAATTTTGTTTATCTACTTTAATCTCCCTTAGCATATTTCTCATGGTATTTAAATATCATAAATTATTCTTGATCATAAAGGTTTGTTTTGTGACTTCCATGAATGAGTATTTTTAGTGCATTTCTCATTAATGGAAAAAGGTGCTATTGTGCTTGCCATATCCGTCCGTATGTCTGTCCATCCGTGACTTCACGTTTTCGTCGACGAGAAAATGCGCTCTCTGTCAGTCACTGCAGTGAGTACTGAGTTATATTTTTTATTCTTAATTTTTTGTAATTGCAGAGCTATGGCCTGTAAAGCAGGAAGTGTCTTTGAGAAGCTGGGGATGTTTGCATCGCGTGAGGTGATGAAGAAAGATGCTAATAATGAGCTGCTGAAGTGTGTCTCAGAGTTCATGGAGAACACAATAGACTTGCTGCTGGCTGACAGCAGACTGGCGTCTCAGGTGGCCCCTCTCTTCACTATATCCCTCACGAGACTGGCGAGGTGAGCGCCGTGTGAGGTAGGACAGGCCCTCTGATATGGTCTTATCTTATTGGTACATTGAAATGGGACAGGCTCTCTGATATGGTCTTATCTTATTGGTACATTGAAATGGGACAGGCTCTCCAATATGGTCTTATCTTATTGGTACATTGAAATGGGACAGGCTCTCTGATATGGTCTTATCTCATCAGTACATTGAAATGCATTATTTAAATTTGTTAGATTGTTAAGAAACACCAAATGTTTGTTTTTAATAGAAAACATAGTTATTCTTGATTGTATTTCAGTTATTTCCTGCAGCATCTTTGTGCTTCACCTTGCACTTGGGCTTAATTTCTTCTAAATTCTGCTTTGTAAAATTCTTCTCTTCTTATGTCTTGTTATATAATTACACAAAAGTTGTGCTCATTTTCAACAGCCTGATTACGTTGGTGTTGCAGATGGCAGTGCAGCAAGTGCAGTCGAGTGCATGAGTATGAGTTGTCGCCAGCCTCATCCTTCACCATGGGCGCCTACATCAGCGCTGACCAGGCTCCTCTGCAGCAGTGCCTCATGGACCTCCAGGTCACATTCCTCAATATTCATACTTCAGACCACCTTACCAGGTCACAAAAATTAATCAACACGAGTGTATATAAATTACAACCGCCTCAACAGGTCACATTCTTCAATATTCATACATTACATCCACCTTGAAACTGATGATTTGTATGCAACAGGAATGTGCTACCAATCTCGTTATATACCTTAATCAGATGGTTTGTATTTTTTTATAATTTAAACTCCTGAATCACAATTTCAGTTACTCAACATTTGTTTTATTGACAATTTTTGTTAATAATTTATGTAACGAGGTATTATTTAATAATGTTTTTCTTTAACTCTGAATCATTTATAGTTGGCCTTTGAAACGAGTTCTGTTGGAGATTCCCTTGGAGAGCTTCCTGCTCTCGCCCTCCTGAGGCTGCTCTGAGACCAGGCTTGTTCTCCTGAGGCTGCTCTGAGACCAGGCTTGTTCTCCTGAGGCTGCTCTGAGACCAGGCTTGTTCTCCTGAGGCTGCTTTGAGACCACATTTTATCTGCAGGCGGAGACACAGACGGGCGTGTTGATGGTGTGTGGTGGGAGCGACTCAGGGAGTCTCAACGCCTCCCTGAGCGGGTGTGGCAGTACGGTGAAGGTGGACAGAGTCGTCACTCCCAAGCTACGCAGCCTGCCTGCTTACCTCATCATCAGGAACAACAGTCTGGTGTGAGGTTTTGAACAACCCTTCATTTTGCTTTCTTTTCTATTGTTCGGTGTGAATTTGAAATATTTTTGTTTTTATGAAATTCGTAAATTGAGTTATTCATTCTGCTACGATGTGCATTTATTGACAGTACAAATATAGTATGATATTTGAGTATTTTGAGTGCCGGAGGTATAAGCACCTGTGACCTAATTTCAGATGTTACAGAGTTTGAGGTTTTTACTATGAAATGTGGTGCAGGTCAGATGATGTTAAGCGTCGTCTGCATGTGGTGTATCCCGAGCTGCTGGACCTGAGCAGCCACACACTAGACGGACAGCCTGCACTGTACCAGCTCACTGGCGTGGTCTTCCACCACGGCTACTGGGCAAAGCATTACTCGGGTGAGTCGCGTTATTGTTCACTTTTTTGTGTCTTGTGGAGTCCAGGAGAACTTGTTAGGCATCAATGGTCGTTAGGTCAAGCTTGCTTATTTGAACAGTTTGAACTACATTTGTTGCTTGGATTTTTGTATGGTTCTGGTCGGGGTTTGCCTAGTCCAGTTATTCTGGTAGGATAATGGTGATGCTGCTTGCAACTTGTGGTGTGTCTTTATGGCATGTGTAAATGCTTGCGGATTAACTTCTTTATAGCTTCGTTCCCTGTTATTCTTATGAACGTTAAACATGTAATGAAACCTATTATAGGATCGTTCGTCCAGATGGGAAGAAAATATCTAGCCCATATTTGATGCTGCTTCTAACTTTATTAAATACCTTCCTTGACCTGTAAGTTGTTTATTCACGAGAAATTTTGTGCCTTCATGGCTCAAATCAATTAAATAATTGCCCATACATTAGTTTCCTTTGTCACTTTAGTTAAGTCGCTCTAATATGATGGAGATTCTAGTATTTTTATTTAAAATTTCAGCCCAAGTGAAAACCGACGATGGGAACTGGTTTAGCTTCAACGATGAGGAGGTCATGGAGATGAGCTTCAAAGCTGCTGCTGCCTCCCAGTCCAACCCTCAGGAAAATCATCCCAACTATTTCAGCTTAGGTAAAGCATTCAACTTTACATTTTAGATGTGGCTAGGTACTTCTGCTCGCTTTGTTATGATTTTTATGCAGGAATGTGACAACTATTCTCACCATATTCTCTGAAGTATCGATACCTGCTTGTTCTTGATTATATATACACATATATATAAATATAGTATGCGATTATGTTACGTATTATACGATTATAATCGTATACATAATATGTGCATAGTAATTGTATACCTACATATTATACGATTATAAAAGTTAATAATTTCATGATGATTGCCTGGCAAGTAATTTGGAATATCCATTAAAATACACTGTAATATTGTTTAGAATTATAAAGTAGTTAATGTGACGAATATTTGTTGATCAGGTTCAGTGAGCGCCAAGTACAAGAGCAAGGACGGGGAGCGCGTGTCCCGAGGAGCCTTCATTTGGCTCTACTCCCTGATGGAGGACGCCCCCGCCCCGCCCCTCCTGCCGCCCCCACAACCTGTTCTGGAGTTCATCAGCCATCGCCGGACTCTTCAACAAGTGCGTATATTGTTGATCTGCGTTGACCGTATCGCAGCAAACCTACCTCATCAGTCAGAGTTAATTTAAAGATTATGGTGATATATTGTCAACAACAGCTGGCTGCTGGCAGATATACTTATATTGTCTTGTATGACTTGCAGGACGACAACAGCAGGCTGCTGGCAGATATACTTATATTGTCTTGACTTACAGGACGACAACAGCAGGCTGCTGGCAGATATACTTATATTGTCTTGTATGACTTGCAGGACGACAATAGCAGGCTGCTGGCAGATATACTTATATTGTCTTGTATGACTTGCAGGACGACAATAGCAGGCTGCTGGCAGAAATACTTATATTGTCTTGACTTGCAGGACGACAACAGCAGGCTGCTGGCAGACATACAGTCAGAGCGCCAGAGTCTAGTAGAGGAGCTTGCAGTGACGGACCCCAATGAGCCGTACACGGCGATGAGTGAAGCTCTGCTGCTCGCGTGGCTGTCTTCAGAAGAGCGCGAGTTCTCGGCGCAGTCCTGCACTCTGCCGCCCCTGCGCTGTGCCCACGGCAGACTCAAGCCTCTCCTCGGTCACGCCGTCAAGTGTGTCAGGACCGAGGCCGTGAGTTTGCTCGCGTGTCAAGTCCCCTTTAACTGAGTTTTTTTGGATCATTAGAATGAAATTTTTGATTTCTTAATGAAAGTTTTATTGTTGATGTTGACCCGTGTAGACTGTTTGTGTCTGAACACTAATGAAATTTCCATAAAAGCCATGTGAATGTCACGTGAGGGAGAAGTGGTTATGAATGATGCTGTAAGAATACTGAAGCTGTTCATTGAGAGTTATGACACATGCACATTGGGAGCGCTTCTATAGTCGAGGCTCCAAGTGAACGATTTAAAAATAATTAGATTACCAACTATACTGAATTCCTGAGAATTTAGCAAAAATTTTAAGAATTGGTTTGGACCCTATTGATGGTGTTACAGAAATTTTTCAAAATTTTTAAAAATTGGACCCTATTGATGGTGTTACAGAAATTTTTCACAAGCACCATCTCGGAATGACAAACGATACAATCTTTTCAGATTTGAGCCTAAATTGCTGATGATATCCATGATGCCACGAGCATACACACCACATGCATTCTCAAGTACAGTAAATTTAGGAGTAATATGTCTTGTGCAGCTCCAGCAGCTACTGACGCACAGATGCGGCATCCATGTGGCCCACCGAACTCTGCTCGCAGTCACTCACAACTCAACCAAGACCTCCTGCCAGGGCGATAGTCCAAGCAGAGTGGCAGAGAGCAGTGGATGTTCTCAGAGCATGAATGGTTCTATGAAGACCTCGAGTTTTAATGGATTTCGTGAAAAAGAGTCCGATAGCAAAATGAATGATTCTGATGTTGCTTCTTCGACCGGATCGCCAAATTCCACCCTCCCACATGACGTGATAAATGGTGTCTCTACTCGTGTAGCTGATACACAAGATGCATCTCTTTCCGAAACTGCAATGGAGACATCTGGTGTATTGAAATTACTCCAAACATTCCCGTATACTGAACATCAGTGCCGAGAATGCGTTGCTAAGCACGCCCGACACATTTTGTTCCTTGAAAAGCTCCGCATGTTACATAAACTGTACAAAAAAGAGGCTCTACAACAATATAGCGAGTGAGTGCTGCATTATTTTAGCGTAAATGTGAGGAATTGTTTAATTATTTATCTCTCACTGTATTTAGACTTGATAAATTGGTTATCTAGATTGTAATTGAGTTAGAGCATAAGTCAAAATGGAATTTCTGACATTCTTTAACCTATATGATATAAAAAGCATAAATCATAACTGTTTTCGACTATATCGGTGTAGTGTTCTCGGTTTTATTATTTAATGATACTTGTATTAGAAATTGATACATGTATTATCAAATGATACATGTATTAATAAATGATACATGTGTTACTAAATGATACTTGTATCAATGAATGATAGTTGTTTTAACAAGTGATACTTTTTCATCAGGGGCTTGAAAGCGGTCGGTGCTGTGAGCTTGGATCTGTGGCCTAAACTAGCGGCCAGACTCTACGTCAAACATCACGGCATCGACATGAGTTATGGTGTGTACTGAATACCAGACCAGCACGCCTTAGCGTTTGTTGTTTAATTTCCTGTGGTACTTTGAGGCGAGATAAATCTGCGCGTCAACTTTCATGAAATGTTTACTTAAGTTTATGAAATGATTTTGTTTAGGTGCCCTTAAGCCGTGTCGCTTGATGCACGGCCAATGGATGCCCACCAAATTAGGCTGTATTTCAGTTTAGAAATCTAACAGCAACGAAAATATATACTGAATTGTTGTGTGCAGATGCCTTCTCTGATTTAGCTGAATCTGTTGGTGAAAAAGACGAGCCTGCAGTAGAAGAGGCTGCAAACCAGTCAAATGACGTCACAGAATCCAAGCCTGATCTCGAAAGTGATGCTTCTCGTCTCTGCTCGGACGCTCAAGCGGACCAGCAAGACAAACCTGACAGTTCTCTGGGCTTCAAATTATTCAATGAAGATATCGTGTGTTCTCATAATCAATTCAATACACAAGCTTCTGTATTTTATCTGCCTGTTGCAAGTTATAACACAATATTAAGACTATTAGGCGATGATGTCCATCCCGCAACGGTGCTGGACGACTTCGAGCCGTGCTTGGAGTGCCAGCAGGTCTTGGTCGAGACGGAGACAGCGTGTGAGCTCGGCGCGTCCCAAAGAAATAAATTACCTGCTTTATTTGCCGACAAGAAACGACCATCTCTAACCAGGGATTGCGGATCTCGTGTTTTCCTTCTTGATCGCGACGTTTTCAATGATTGGCGGACTTACGTTCGTGGCTGCGTTAAGGGAGTTCCTGAGAAAAAACCTCATTTTTCCAACGAAGATCTTTTGTGTGTGCATCGGAAACTCAACTATAACCCTTCTATCCTGGATCCTGCCAGGTGAAAATGTTGTGTTCATTTCTACATATAAAGTTGTCAGTTGATGACTTCGCTCTTGCTTTACAAATTACTTGTTTCAACTGAAATGATTCATGTGATCTGATTTTCATTGTAGAATTGATTGATTGTCACATGATTGTCACCACGAGTTCGCGAACATTTTTAGTCTATAGATTATCGCAGCATCATCTTTTTTCGATACCTACCCCGTCACAGGCAAGGCACTTATTGTTATCACCGACTTAGTATCAGTCTACCCTAAGTTGTACCAAATAATCTTACTTCCCTCAGATTCTCACGACTTTGGGTGCTTGTGTGGCCTGAGGAGTGGACAATAATTGAACAGCTCTATGGGTCCATGGCCAGTAGCGCAATTCAAGCCACTATATCTTCTGATGGACTTATTGACATAATACCAGGTATGGCTTGAACCTATTGTCGTAATAAATGCATTTAAATATTATACACCAAAGTGTCCTTAATCCTAAATTCTGCAACAGTATACAAAAAAGGATCATAACAGCGTCAATGATTCATCATAGGTACCGTAAACTGGGGTAACTTTGACTCCCGGGGTAATTTTGACCACTTTTGGTTTTTTAACAAAAACCCCCAAAACTCAAAAAGCATTTGACATAGAGAAATTTTGTCAATGGGCATTAAAGACCTAATACTGAGGCTACATAACACAAAAGAAAGATTTAAAAAGTTTGCATATCTAATAGGTTAAAAAAATTAAAATGTGACCCACAAAAAACAGCTATTTTTTTAAAGCCTGTCAGAGTACCCCCTCCAATTTTTTTATTTTTTGACAAAATAACTCCAGGTTTTGATGCATTGTAGTAGAACTCTTCTAGTTACATATGCAAAAAACGAATTTGCGAAAAGTGTCATAATTTGCAAATTGGGGGCGCCGCCCCCCAATGGGGTAACTTTGACCACCTAATGGCAGCCGTGACGGGGTAACATTGACCGGCTTGGAAATTAAGTTAAAATTACCATAAGTACCTATATAACATATTTTATGTTTGATACACCTATGAATGTTTTTTTCTTCATGTTTCAGACTCTACAGAGTCTTATATATGGTAATTTTAACCTAATTTCCAAACTGGTCAATGTTACCTCGTCACGGCTGCCATTAGATGGTCACATTTTGCCCATTTGGGGGCAGCACCCCCCATTTGCAAACTATGACACTTTCCTAAAATTTTTCTTTTGCATATGTAACTAGAAGAGTTCTACTACAATGCATGGAGTTATTTGGAGTTATTTTACCAAAAAATAATATTGATTTTACCACCCGGTCAAAGATACCCCCAGAGCTGGGGTAAAAAAGACCAGCGATTTTTTTTAAATACATCAAAACTATGAGAGGCAGGAGCCAGCAATTTATGGTGAGTAAAGCTAGAGTATAGACCTGTATTTTGCATGTTTCAATTTAAGTTTAACTTATCTAGTAAAAAAATGGCATCATTTTGAAAAAAAGTGGTCAAAGTTACCCCAGTTTACGGTATTTAAAATCACTGATGAATTTACAGATGTTTGCAATGAAGGCTGTGTGGAGTCTCAGGCCCTCCTCGACTACGAGGATCTCTTCGAGTATCAGAACGAAGTCATTTACGTTCGCCAAGTGCACTCTGAAGACGACATCCCTCAGCGGGCGGTGGCTGGGACACGCTCCATGGGTCCTGCTCCGACGCCTCCCTGTGTTGTCACAAGCTCACAGGACCTGGTCAGCGCATCACGCAAGAATTTAAATAAGCCTGGTAATGTTTCATGTGCCGCCATGGATGACAGACAAACAACCTCTTCCGACTTGAGTGGTTCTGACCTGAAGTGCGATGCTGGTGTAGACGGCGGACCTCAGGCTTGTGGCACCGCTACACTTGAGGGCAACGAGAAGCGTCCGTTAGACGAGAGCTCTGTGCAGGTGAAGTAATTATATTGTTGAATTCAGTTTCAAACTTATTATGTAGTAAATCACTTACAGACTTTTTATTTTTGTCACTTCGAAATGTTTTAATTTTTTTTTGCTTCCTTGAAACGAATTTGCTGATACTAGATGTAATATTTATTCACACAAATTAAGTTGTAGTTCTATTTTTTGGATTTGTGCGATGATATTGAAAGTAATGTCTGCAATGTCTTCTCTTAAAAAAATATAGCATTTTCTTAACATTATATCAGTAGGTGAATATTAATGGCATTAACTGCATTAACTATTAATGGCTGCAGAGTTTCTATAATTGTTTCTTATGATGCAGGGTTCTTCAGGATCCAGGAAAATTGCTCGCCTGGAAACGGTTCAAAACGGAACGTCGACCAACGGCGCCATCATGCCTCCAGCAGCTGGGGAATCTTCAATTTCTTCTGCTGGCGCTCAGTCTGGAGACTCGGCGATCTGCTTGTCACGACCTGCGGCTGTAGCTTCAGACGAGTCCGTGTCATCCTCGGTTAGTTCAACCACTTCGAAGTGCAGCAAAACTCGTGATGGCGGCGATGCCGTGACCCATTCTCCCCCTGCCATTGCGCCCCCCTCGTCTGCGGACGCTGCTGTGCCTGCGTGTACTCCCTCGCAGCCCGTGGTCTCCGGGAACTCCCGCCAGAGCGGCCGGCGACGCTGCCCCAAGGGAGGCGCCCAAACTAAAGTCGCCACCGCCAGGCTCGTGCGCGCCTCTCAATACTTCGCCTCCACCGACACCATCAGACAAGTGCAGAATTTTGTGAGTTTTCTTGCACCAACTTCAGGGCTCGATTTAACGTTGCTCAGTTCTGACGATATTATAATCATGATGTTCGTTATCGACTAGTGTGTAACTTTTAGAATCTTTTATGCTTGTTCTGTTAACTATTTCAAGTTATTGTAATATTAAACATATAAAATTGTAATCCTTGCTGCCTTTTTCGCCGTTTTCCGTGGTCAAGTGAATTCAATGCTATAAAACTAACTACTTGAGTAGGTAGCAATTTAGTAATTGAAATTGTTAGTAATTGTTATATGTAAGTAAGTAACACAACAGAAAAGTTTTGTGTTGTGTTTGAAGATCGTCTACCTACAGCGTGCTGGTTTGTTAGTAATTATTATGTGTAAGTAAGTAACACAACACAACAGTTATATATTGTGTTTGAAGTTCGTCTACATCCAGCGCGCTGGTTCGCCACACTTGTTTCGGTCGCAGATAGCGGAGAAGACGGGCGTGTGGCCGATGCTGCAGACGGTGTGGCTGGTCTGGTCGGAGGACCTGGCTGCTGCCGTGTCTCTGCCTCCTGTCCCTGCACCTGTGCTGCTGGGGGAGGAACACCTCACCATGACCCTGGGGGCTCTTAGGGTCAGACCTGGAGACACCATCTACTTCAAGGCCGCTGTGAGTTGCCAGCAATTGCTGGGGCGATCTACTTCATGTTGGTGCTGGATTCTTCATACGAACCTGCCTCACCAAAGATCCACAATTGCGCTTGTGATCCTGCAGGCTTAGCATAGATAAAAGTTTGTTGCGATCAGGTAACAATTACGTTGTTATCTTGATCTGTCACTGCCCATCTACTGCATTTCTAAACTAACCATAAATGCGTGTATTTCCATTGGCTTTCACGATACGCTTGACTTTCATATTTACATTGCATTAGTAATCTGTCGTTCTCGATGCTGGATTACTACAGCAATACGTTGATAATGTCTGCAAAGTGATTATCCTATGTCTGTGCACGTCTTTGTGTGACTCATTCCGGCGGAAAGTTAGTTTGTTCAGTAAACATACAAGGAAGTAAATATACCACATAAATGCCTCACTTATCACGGGTATTGCGTTCCAGCCCTCGGCCGCGATGGGAAATTGATTGACTGATATTACTAATTTGAGCATTAATATTGTACTTTTTTATTTTTTTTGTAAACTAATTGTTTGTAATTTTGCGCTAATTACAAAATTAATTAAGAGTGCGGGAAGGAAACCCTTCAAGCAGCACTCTCATTACCGGTCACGTTACGCGAGCTGTTTAAATCTGCCCATTGATTTTCTCAGAGACCTGCTAACCAACAAAGCTCTGCAAATAATTCTTCTTATTAATATATCACTAATTAATTGTTTTCATTAATTAATGATTATTCATTATTTATAAATCGTTAATTTATTTTTAATCAATAATTTGTATTGATCGTTCATTAATTATTAATCACTGAATATTAATTACTGGTCTTCTTTAATCAATGAATATTCTCATTAATATTTATTAAAAACCCACAATGAGGTGAAGCCGCGTCAAGAGAAGCGTGATACAGCGAAAAATTTCCGTGTATATTTTCAATTGAAGTGACAATATTTTTGTTGCAGAAAGAGGACCTGGAGAAAGCTGCTGGCGACGGCATCATTGAGTATGAAGAAATATCAGCCTGAGTGCCGGCGGTGGACATTTAAGTTTGCATGGATTTTATTGAGTATTTTGGATTTTATTCAGTATTTCCCCCTCGAGGTGCAAGGGAATTTTGCTGTGCCCGGAAACGTGTGACCTGCTAGTGCCTGTTAGATCAGCTACTTCTTCCAGATCAAAGATTCCTTGTTGAATTTAGTTAGTATGGAACTTAAGGAACTTTTCACAAAGTTTTAGGCAACATTTAACTGCGGTATTTTAGTTAGACTTGTTTTACGTTTCTTTCAGCTGGATTGAAATATTTTCTTCAATCGGAATTGAATATTTTCTTTGATTGAATATTTTCTTTGATTGGAACTAGATTATTTTAATTTTTGTGTATGATGACTATAGTCTCTCATCCTCATAGATCATTTATTTATAACAAAAATATTTTTGAATGTTATTTTCTTCATTCTTGTGTAGATACTCACGTTATTTTAGACAGAACTCACGTTATTATTTTAGATAGATTTCAGATTTTCCTTTTGAAATGTGATGGTGACTCATGAAAACTGCAGAATAGATTTTGTGTGCATATTGAAGATGGAGAAATGATTAAAATGACCGCAAACTTGTCTATTTCTTGCTTGCTATCTTCACCTTCCCCTTCAAATGGTTACACAGTCCAAGCTAGTTAGTCATATCTAATACTAATAATCTAATAGAGAAGTGCAATTATCGGCACTAAATATTCTGTAATCTGATTAGTATGCGTGTTCACCTAGCACACATTTATTAATTTACTACCACCGATAGTCTAGTGTCAGTTTCTAGGGAACACGCGACGATGTTTCCAGTCTGATGAAACATGAACAGGTTATTTAAGCTAGGATAATTTCTTAGTGCAATTCTTGTTTAGTTAACCCGCAGGCTGAGGAAGAGACCTGGGCCTATACTTTCAAAAAAAAGTTAAGAGATCTTAAGTTCATCAGCCAATCACTGACGGCCTTTCAAGCAAAATCCACCGATCATAGACCAGAAAATAGAGCGTAAGTACTTACGTTCACTTAGCGTATTTTGAAAGTACGGCCCCTGATCTTCTTCCTCACGGGGAACTGGTCACGCTCCCCCGGGCTCCCAGTGACGATGGGGACTTGAGATTTTTTAATATTAATCTTGAATAATATTAACAATATATATTATTAATCTTTAAAAAATAAAAAAAAAATAATAATATTCTTACTAATAATATTAAGAAGATTAATAATGATGGGTACTTAGTACCCTTCATTATTAATCTTCTTTATCTTTTTTAAAAATCTGTAAGATTTTTTTTATGGCTGAGATTTTTGGCGGCAGCAAAGTGACTGCACCATTTTTGTGAGGTGATGAGATCATTTTGACATTTGTGAAGGCAGTGTGAGTGTTGTAGCTGTGTGAGTGTTGTAGCTGTGTGAGTGTTGTAGCTGTGTGAGTGTTGTAGCTGTGTGAGTGTTGTAAGGGGTCAAGTTGTTGTGTAGGCAGGGCAGTTGTGGAGTTGCGTGTTAATTAGCAAGCTTGCTTTGGGGCAAATATCTTGTGTCGGCAAAAATTAGAGGTTATTTTTTTCTTCACTCTCAACTATTAAAATTTAAACTATAAGCATATAAGTTATAAAAAAAATGTGGAATTACTTATAGAAGATAGGCAAATTTCTAAAATTTTAGGTCTAGAACAAAAAGAACATGGATCACAAACGAAGTTTAGTCGTATATACTGGGACTTGCCTGGTTCGGATCAAAGTAAATGTTGTAGATTCTATCGTACCAACTTGTAAAAAGAGTTCCTATGATCCTATCACAATTAAGTAAACACATCACGAGGAAGATTCTATTGAAGCGAGTGGGTCTCTCTGTGACGGAGGACAGCATACGGGGTTTGGGAAGACGCCACACATGCAAATATATCAGCTTTTAGGTAACAATTGATTCAAGCTTTTGGTGATCAGATTTCCACTCTTATCATTATCACCATTACTTGTGATGCTCCCTCTTTCTGCACACAGAATTTATGTAAATCAGAAACTTAAACATTTAGTAATATTTTCATCGGTCTTCGCCGCGCTGCACATCTGTCTCAGGTATGTCGATATTTATACAACTTCTTGACCAAATGACATCGAGCACTTATCATTACTTCAGCTTCACATTACTCATGAACTCGGCCTGTGTTCTCAACTAACAATAAAAAGCACGCTGTTGCTGATACACATTTCCTCACTGCTTATCATTGGGTCGGCTGATTGCTCTGCGTATTTTTTTATACAAGTTTGGGCAGATATTAGTCTGTCCTGAAGACTTTCAATTGCGCCTCAGATTGGGTTGGCGATTGTGTAAATTAATTGAAAATAGTGTCAGTAGTGAATGATATAGCTTTCTGTTCAAATAACAATGCTATTGTTCAATCGCGGCAATGCAAAGGAAATGGAGCCTGTCACTGGAGATGGAGTTCACGAAAACTTCATTGGGACAGTTACTACAACTCCATCGTTGTGAAAATGCATCGGACGTATCTGAGGACTGAGCACCGATTTCACATTTATTTTTTCATTCTGATTACTCTGGGACATTACAACCTGTGCAATAGCAACTCTTCTCATCCTACACAGGGAAGACTCGTTATATTCGCCGCAGTATAAACTTGTCGCATTTCATGTTAATCGCAGCCGAAACTCGTCGCATCCATCGCAGTGGAAACTCGTCGCATCCATCGCAGTGGAAACTCGTCTCATCCATCACAGTGGAAACTCGTCGCATCCATCGCAGTGGAACTCGTCTCATCCATCGCAGTGGAAACTCGTCGCATCCATCGCAGTGGAAACTCGTCTCATCCATCGCAGTGGAAACTCGTCGCATCCATCGCAGTGGAACTCGTCTCATCCATCGCAGTGGAAACTCGTCGCATCCATCGCAGTGGAAACTCGTCGCATCCATCGCAGTGAAACTCGCCGCATCCGTCGCAGTGGAAACTCTTCGCATCCATCGCAGTGGAACTCGTCTCATCCATCGCAGTGGAACCTCGTCTCAACCATCGCAGTGGAAACTAGTCGCATCCATCGCAGTGGAACTCGCCGCATCCATCGCAGTGGACCTCGTCGCATCCATCGCTGTGGAAGCTCGTCTCATCCATCGCAGTGGACCTCGTCGCATCCATCGCAGTGGAACTCGTCGCATCCATCGCAGTGGAAACTCGTCGCATCCATCGCAGTGGAAACTCGTCTCATCCATCGCAGTGGAACTCGTCTCTTCCATCGCAGTGGAAGCTCGTCGCATCCATCGCAGTGTACCTCGTCGCATCCATCGCAGTGGAATTGGTCTCATCCATCGCAGTGGAACCTCGTCGCCTCCATCGCAGTGGAAACTCGTCGCATCCATCGCAGTGGAAGCTCGTCGCATCCATCGCAGTGGACCTCGTCGCATCCATCGCAGTGGACCTCGTCGCATCCATCGCAGTGGAAACTTTCGTTGCTGTGAAAACTCAATGTCCATCCTAATATAAACTTTCAACTTGCATGGCAGTAAAAACTTGATACTTTCATTGCAAGGGAAACTCAAAATTCACAACATCAAAAACACACATCCATCATTGAGGAAATCTCGGCAGCTATTGCTTTTTAAATTGTTCACATCATTCAATGATTGTAACTATTCTCATCTGTTACTCTGGAAACGATTTACTTCCACTTAAATTGAATTTTTATTTTTGAAACCATTAACAACCATCAGTTAGGAAACAATTGTCGTCATTAATTTTGAAACTGTTCATCACTGAGTAGAGTCTTAGCTTATGTCTCTTATTGAAAATTGTATGTATTCATCAATCAACGTTGAAAATTTGTATCAGTTAACTTTTAAAAATAATTTCCCATTGAAATAAAACTGCTCCTAAGTCATTTATGGAGCACATGGAAAAAATTATTCATTGCTATTATTCACAAAATTCAATCTAATTTTAAATTTCCCTAATAATGGCTTGGAGTGTTTACAAATGATCTTTAATTTTCACCATATGTATTGCCGCGTATTGGTGATATCCTTCTTCCATATCATATATGATATTCCTGAACGCTCTGGTCACATCATGGAGTGGGCGTATAATTGTGGATTTTTGCTCCATGTGATAATGGAAACATTTGATTAGAAACAAGCCTACTCGTTGCATTGTATTGATACAAATTTTATTATTTAATCTTGAATTTCCAGCTGCCAAGTTTGCATGCCAAATGAACATGACCCTAGAATTGGCACCAAGATCCAAATGACTAACGAACATTTGTCAACATTTAATGTGCTGGATATTTTCAATTACTGTGTGAAGTATTCAGAGCTAATTAGAATGCAAAAAGTTTTCTTGATAAGGCAACTCGTCTGATGTGAACGTGTGCTGTTGTCTTAATTTCAGATTAACACGGAACTGCACTACACGCCATTTCGTGTTGCCTTCTAAGCAACTCAAGGCAAGATGTTCAGTCGAAGAGATGCCTTCGAACCGCCTCCTCTGCGCTCGCCATCGCTTCACAATCTGTCGGAACTCGGCAGACAGCAGCAGCAGGACTCCGGACAACTTTATACGAAGCGCGTAGATCCTGGCGTCTCCAATCCGGCACGGTTATTAATTCCAGGGCCTCGTGAGCTCACAGACGCGAGCCATCGCAACGATGACGCTCCCATGAGTTATAGCTTCGAAGCTTCTGCACGCCGTGACATTGAAGGTCCTGGACGTTACGACGTTGAAACTCATGGACGTCACGACGTCGAAGCTCTTGGGCGTCAAGATTTTGAAGCTCCTGGACGTCACGACTTTGTATCTCCAGGACGCCAAAACTTAGAACCTCCTCGACAAAACGAATATGAAGATCCTGAGCGCAACGACTTCGAAGCTCCTGTACGCCACAATTTTGAAGCTCCTGGGCGCCGCAACGTTGAAGACCCAGGAAGAAATGAATTCGAAGCTCGTGGAAGTCACGAGTTTGGGGCCCGTGGAAGTCACGAATTTCAAAATCCCGGACGTCGCGACTTCGAAGCTCCTGGATGCCGCAACTTCAAAGCTCCTGGACGCCGCGACTTAGAAGCTCCTGGACATCGCGACTTCGAAGCTCCTGTACATCGCCACTTCGAAGCTTCTGGACACCACGAAACGCCGCGACTTCGAAGCTTCTGAACGCCGCGACTTCGAAGCTTCTGAACGCCGCGACTTCGAAGCTTCTGAACGCCACGACTTCGAAGCTCCTGGACGCTGCGACTTCGAAACTCCTGGATGCCGCGACATAGAAGCTCCTGGACGCCGTGACTTCCACGATTATGGGCGCCACGAATTTGAAGCACTTGGTCGTAGCAACGTTGAAGAGCCTGGACGCTGCGACTTCGAAGCTCCTGGTCGTCGCGACTTGGAAGCTCCCGAATGCCGTGACTTCGAAGCTCCTGGACGTCGTGACTTAGAAGCTCCCGAATGCCTCGACTTCGAAGCTCCTGGACATCGCGACTTCGAAGTTCCCGGTCGCCGCGACTTCGAAGCTCCTGGACGCCGCGACTTCGAAGCTCCTGGACGCCGCGACTTCGAAGCTCCTGGACGCCGCGACTTCGAAGCTCCTGGACGCCGCGACTTCGAAGTTTCTGGACGTAACGAATTTAAAACTCTTGGACATGGTGATTTAAAGGCAAATGAATCAAACAGCGCCACTTTAGAACATGATTGTGGATCGCCGAGTGGGTTCGGTGAAACTCGTGTTCAGACCAGGCTATCGTCAAGAGAGGTAACAGATAGTGCGCCTAGTCGTGAAAGCTATGGTAAGTTTTCATTCAAAAGTAATGACTTACGAGGACCTTCAACGAGAGACCGCCATTCTCTAGGTCATGGATACGCTATGACAGTTTCGCCTGACAGGTGGAAGAATCACGAGTTGGGCTCAACTTTGCCCATGGATAGTATCCCTCGTACGGTAAATTATGGATCCCTCACGAAGTTAGAACAACAAAATAGTTTGGATTTACAACCTTCATCAAAACCAGATTTGAAAATTCTTATGGACCGTTTTTCAGAGTTGGGTGGTCTGGATAATGTCTTGAATGCGGGACTCGTTACTCAAGATTTGGCCAGCTCTTTCCACAAATTTATCACTTCGCAGGAGCCTTATTCCTCTACGTCGCTACGGAATAACGATGGTCGAGCCAGCAACGTAAGATCTGTTGGTGATCGACTAGATTCTAGAATTGACGATAAATTCAAATCTGGCGTCGATACTTTGTCAGAACGATTAGAAGTTGTAACAACAAATCCTAGATCGCATGTTAACAGATTTGGAGACAGTGGTAATTTGCACGAATCGCCCAATTATGATCAACATCGATCACATCCTGGAATGATCGTGGAAGAAAGCAACCAGAGGAAAATTCGTGGTTCAGATTATGGTCTTCCGCATAGTAACCGTCTGGAAAGGCAGTCCAGGCATATGGTTGCATGCGAAACTGAGAATCGAGCAGAATTTTCAAGCACCGTTCAAGAGAGGGCTGAACCTGTTTGTGAACTGGGTAGATTGACGAAACGCGTTGATTCGGCAATGAAAAATATTGAACGACGTTCGACGATACATGAATCTAGTGATGGGTCTGCCCGGAAAGATCGTACTGTTAATTCTGAAGCCGATACAAGGCAGGTAAAACAGAATAGGATTTCGTTGCCCAATGAGCTCGTTTCGAGGCTGGATGGTAGTAAGGATGTTCTTCCCTACGCCACTCGGGGCAATAATGTGCTACACAAATGTGTTGTGAACGACTACAAACATTACGAAACAAGACTAGATAACTATCATGATGAAACACCTAATCAGAGGGAAATTTACGCGTCCCCACGTTCGTTCGAGAAGCCGGAATTGTCCCATGGAGTGCACGGCTTGAAAAATTCATCAGCGCTGCATTCAAGTCATTGCAGAGATCATTTTGTTAGATCAACGTCGACCGACAACGCATTTGAACGTAACGATTCGAGCAATGTTCGAGTCTCTCGCTCTCGAGCGACCGTTCGTGAACGTCTTGATAAGTCGGATACAACACTTGAGAGAGATACGGATTCGAGAAAATCATCGTTGCAGACAAATGCTGCAGGTGAAGGGTCGAGTCATGTTAACCGTCGTGCTGCTCTGCCTTTAGATAGCCGGTCATCGCCTGTTCCGAAAGACTGTTCCCCTTCTCGTATCAGAAATGCACCATTTAACACAAAACGTAGCACTTCTCCTGATAGACATGATCGTACAATTTTTTCTTCAAGGCGAGTGGCTTCTTTCCGTTCACGCAGCAAGTCACCTGCTTATATTCGGAGCAGGTCTCCTGTCCGCAAGCGAAGTAAGTCGCCTCTTCGCGTGATTGGCGTGTCGCCTCGTCGCTTAGAGAGTAAGTCTCCACGTCGTTTTTATAGCAAGTCTTCTTTAAGGGCACGAAATAGGTCTCCTCTTAGTCACCGAAATGAGCCGCCCCGCAGCTTACGCAACCAATCACCTCTACAACTACGAAGCAGGTCTCCTTTGCGTTTGAAAAGCAGTATTCCTTTGAATTTGAGAAGCAGGAGTCCCTTGCGTTCGAAGAGCAGGAGTCCTTTGCGTTTGAGAAGCAGGAGTCCCTTGCGTTCGAAAAGCAGAAGCCCTTTGCGTTTAAGAAGCAGGAGTCCTTTGCGTTTGAGAAGCAGTAGTCCTTTGCGTTTGAAAAGCAGGAGTCCTTTGCGTTTGAGAAGCAGGAGTCCTTTGCGTTTGAGAAGTAGGAGTCCTTTGCGTTTGAGAAGAAGAAGTCCTTTGCGTGTGAGAAGCAGGAGTCCTTTGCGTGTGAGAAGCAGAAGTCCTTTGCGTTTGAGAAGCAGGAGTCCTTTGCGCTTGAGAAGCAGGAGTCCTTTGCGTTTGAGAAGCAAGAGTCCTTTGCGTTTGAGAAGCAAGAGTCCTTTGCGTTTGAGAAGCAAGAGTCCTTTGCGTTTGAGAAGCAAGAGTCCTTTGCGTTTGAGAAGGAGTCCTTTGCGTTTGAGAAGCAGGAGATCTTTGCGTCTGAGAAGCAGGAGTCCTTTGCGTTTAAGAAGCACGAGTCCTTTGCGTTTAAGAAGCACGAGTCCTTTGCGTTTGAAAAATCAGGCTTCTCTCTGTCTACAAAAGCGATCTTTACATCGTCCACGCAGTAAGTCTCCACTCAATCGTAGAAGTGGTCTGAGTCCTATTTTACGAACTTTGTCTCCAAAGCTAGATTCCGTAGCAGTTATGAATACGTATGATTTATCACTTGCAAGACGGCTCTCTCCCAATATTAGCGAGTTTATTGTACCCCGAACGCCTCCGGATTCTTCTCTGCAACGATTGCCTGCTGGATCAACACGCCGACCATTGCTGTGTGCTTCCAATTCGTCGTATCTTGCAGAAAAGGCGTCGCTTAGACTATCTCGGTCACCTCGCCGATTGCCAGCGACCAGAACGTCATTACATTCGTCTCCAAGAAGATCGCCCCTTCGCTTGTCCCCTCGCCGGTCGGACTTGCATTTATCTTCTCGAAGTTCACCTCTTCGCTTGCCCCCAAAATCAAGAATACGTTCGTCTTCTCGAAGACTAACTTCTCGTTTGTCTTCGACAAGACATGGGAGAGTTTCTCCTTCAAGATTATCACCAAAGCGCTCTCCGATACGGTTTTCGCCGACATTTCGTGAGCGTAAAACTTCAACTTCACGGTTGTCTCCCACTGTTGTGAACGCTCAGAATCCTCCTCGACGTCGATCTCCCCTGACCTTATCAAGTAGGCTCGAGAAAAAGTCCTCACATTTGCGAACTGAAGAACTTGGTTCTGCCCACGAACATGATCGCTCTCAACCATCCGTACCAAGACCTTTGCCGACTCACGGCAGAGTACACTTGCGACTGTCCCCGAGGAGGTCCCCACGCAGCTCGTCACTTCCTCGTAGAGCAACAGAATTTTCCCAATCTGGGCCTGGCGATAGAATAAGTGATCGTCTAGAAACAGATCTTCGAGAAAATCGGCCTACTCCACATCAAATGACAGTTTTACAGAGTGAAAAAGAAGCAAACTCTGGTGTGGATCCAAACAAGAACAATAAAAAACTAGACTCTCGTCGAACCTCACAGTCGCAAAGTGTGAAAGAGAAATCGGCCGAGACTAGTCGCAAAAAACCGGTCTTTGACAGGCTTTCAGCGAGAAATGATACAGAATCGGCTTTACGAAAAGATCATAACACTGCAAATGAAGGATCGAAGCTAAGAATGACCCCTTCCAGTGCCAGTGGAAATTCCTTTCATGTGAAGGATCGTTTGGGTGACAAAGAAATTATTTCGAAGCGTGATGAAGATAAAGAGCAGGAGCCTGTCAGGAAAGCTACCACGATGCAACCCGTCGCCACAATTCAGAAATCAAGTGCGACCTCAACTGAGAAAAAATTGTCACCTGATGGTAAAAATTCATCAACTCAACCTAAGAAGCCTAAAGGTGATCAAACAAATACTTTGGTGCCACCGAAAAAGAAAAATTTCGTCCCAATCGTGTTCTCAGCTAAAGACTTTGAAAGCGATTCCTCTTCAAAATCTAACAATGCTGTAAGTAATAAAGAGATAGAAAACAAAACTGAATCCCAATCACGCAAACGAAGCGATTTGCCTCGTCGCCGTCTCGGTTCCGACAGTCACAGGCGTACGCTCTCGACCAGCCAATCGAGGACTGTCCAAAATAAACGGACTCCTCCTCGAAGAAATGCTGCCCGTGAGTTGGGCTCTCGGGCTTCTGGATCCGCTCGTAGCGCCAGCAAGAAGGACCTAAATCATATGTCAGTTTCTGAACTTAGAGAAGAAATTATCAAATGTGATGGCGATATGCGTGCCGCTCTTGGAACGAATTGTTGTCAAAGCCTTAGGCTGCTGCTTCTGCAAGCCAAAGAGGCCCAAGTAGAGCGCAAGCTGCGTAGACTTGATGCTCCTAGAATTGACTTTTAAGCAAGGAGCGGGTATGTAACCGATGTTTGCCAGCATTAGGTTTCTAGGTTCGATGAAACCTCTATTACTATTTTAAAACCTTTCTGTTGAATCATTTGGGTTTTGTAAACTCATTCGTTGAATTTATTTTTCAAGGTTATTTAAATGAACTAACGTTTCTCTGTTTTACTCATTAGATTAACCTATTGCAATGTGTCGCATTGCTGACTCTAAAGTAATTAAGTTTCTGTGTATTAATTTCTCCATTATTTTAGTCTCAATGTTGATGACTATGTCCTCTAATTGACCGATCGCTTGCTATAAAACTTCAAATACAAGCAAATTTTCAAAGACTGTAGAAGTTAAACGATTTTTTTGAATACTTGACTTTACGTTTGGTTTGTATTGATTTGTTGGGTAGATAAGATGAGAAATTAGACCATGATTTCATACAGAAGGTATTGGGTTAACAGAAACTTCTTATGTTTGTTTAACATTTAACATGACGTTCTAACTTGTTTTTTTTTTTTTTTGTGGAATTGTAAATAAAAGTGAGTTTTGAACTGTGGTGGACATTTCAGAAAGTCTGCGTGTATAATTTATTCTCGAGAGACTAAGAGTTTAAAAAACGCCAGGTCAATTAAATATATCTTCTTTGAAAACGGTTTAGAAACTGCTTTTTTGAACTTTTGCTTGTCTCCAAAACGGTTGCAATGAAGATAGGATGAATTTACTTGGCGTTTTCTTTGCTTGTAAAATTTGCAAGTTAAAACTTGAACTTGCAATTTGAGCAGACTAATTATTTAAGTAATTTCTCGTCGTGTTGTGTGTAGTTAGTTATAATAATATAACAGTACAGAGTTAATAATTTCCTTAACATTATATTGCTGCTATCGGGGTAATTATAGCACGGGTATGATTAATATCCCCTCAGGGGGGACTTCTGACGGGTGTCTGTGCTCGTCAGAAGTCCTATGGGCGTTCGCGCTCCTAGGGGGATTGTTCCTGAGCGTCCCACCGCTGAGCTCGCGGTGTCTGACTGTAGATCTCAGTTGTGGGGTTAAGTTATTATGTAGGCAGGATTCCTTACATTTCCCTTCTCTGTCGGGCGGCCGACGTCCCGTGTAAGCGACCTCTTGTTCGAGTGTCTTCGTTTCTGTTGCTTTTCACCTGTCCCTCCTTGTCACTTCGTCTCTTGAGATGCTAACGCTGCTTCTTTCGAGCCAGCTTCAGCGGGCTGGACATCTGAGACCTTCCGCCTCTTGTGGGTGATGAATAATTGAGACCTTCCACCTCTATGGTGATGTTCATCTTGACTTTCGGTGCGAGATAGCTTAATAGCTGAAGCGCTAGTAAACATTTGGCCACTAAACTAAACTAAACTAAAAACTATGATTAATATGAAAGAATTAATCGAGCGAATTAATATGTTAGCATTAATCGAGAGCTCTGATTAGACTAGATTTTGAGCATGATACCTTGGTGCTGCTGTAAATATCGAGAAAATTACTGGTTGATAAGTTGGAAAACGTTCAATACTGCACTTAACAGCCATTTCATTTTTTGTTGCGATGTCGATGTTTTACAAGAAATTACCGTACCGAATGTTGCGCGAAATATATCAGTTCTTGTAGTATGTTGTCTGTTATAATAGCGATCTTTTGGCTGCTGATGCCTTTCATTATCCTGAACGTCCCTTTAGTTTTAGTGATGATTTTACATACGGTTTACACTTGACGCCTTAACACTTGGCATTTCATTGAAAAAAGTTATATCACAACTTCTTTGTTGTGCTCTCTGAAGGACTTTAATCTAGAATTACGTTTTTGGGACAGCGATCCGTCGAGTAAAACTCGCGAACATAAATTTCCTATTAGATAAAACGATGAAATTTATTTATAATAATGTCTACTGATTCTAATGATAATAATAATGGTGAGCTTTCATTGCTGCTGAACTTAGCAAACTTTAATGATCCACATTATTTGACTCAGCGACTGACTGGAGATGCGGCTTGTGGTGCAGAGGGTGTCCAGCGCCTCCGTCAGCGGTAAGCCCTTTGTGGAGCGTAGTGTTAGTGTGTTCCGACGGGGATGTTGCCCAGTCAGGCAACATCGGATTCGCAATTGCCCAATGGGCACACCTTAGATTGCAAAGTTAGAGGCGTCGCAATCACCGATCGCCTGGATCAGTTCTACGCATAGTATGCAGCGATTTCCTTCGTGAGCTGTGGCAGTGTTCGCTAACAGTCTGTAATCCTGTAATCGAGTAGCACTTGTACTTCCAGTGTAGTCTGCACCTACCGCTAGGTAGCACTTCTACACCTGTTGACCATTAACATGTACAATTGTTTATATTATATCTTGCCTTATTCGCTAATGGTGCATTAAGTGGGTGTACTGTTTAAATTCAACAGTCTGTTACTAAGATCATGGTGGTGTAAAGTAGATGTTGCATCGTAGCTCTTGCAAATCGTGTTAGGCAATAAATTTTTATGAATCAATAAACTAACAAACTAACTAGAGTGCATTCACAAAACAATTATTCGCGGACCAAATGTAAGACCCTCGCTTTTCACCAGTATGACTCGTCCCCCAGTTTGAGAACCACTGAGCTAGCGCGAAGTATAGAACGTATGATCAATCTTAGACGTATATATTCGACTGCTTCCAATCTTCAATCAGCTGTTGTTGCCACTGAAAATTATAAAGATCTAACTACCGTTGAATAATGCAATTTGGTGTGGATTGGCAGTCCTCTAATTTAGGATTGACAGTCATCTTAATAATTTCGATGCAATCTAAATAGAAACTTTGGTGTCTTAATTGTCCCGCTATTCACGACTTTTTTCACCAATACACTTTCGCCATGATCAAGTCTGCCCGTTGTTCTGATGGTTCGAGTTGCCTACAATAAAAAAAATCTTGTGTTCATAAACGTTGCAGTGAACGAAGAGGTCGTGAGTAAGATCGGTCGTGGACTGTGCGTGCTGGTCGGTCTTCAGGACACGGACACTCACGACGACCTCGTGTGGATGTGAGCTCATACGTGTGGTGGGTGCTCATGTTCACAAATGCGACCTTATGGGTCCTTGCACTCGATGAAAGTTTCAGCTTAAAGTATAAGTGGCTAATATCAAACAATAGTAATTTTCAGGTTAATATCTTCAGTGGAAAGTAGCAAGACGCGGACACTGAAAGTCGAGTTTAATGCGAATTAGCTGCAGTGTGCACCGATTTCACGAAGTCAAGTCTATGATGCTCCCAAGTTATCTCTCTGTCCTATAATTTTTTACCGACACCCTGGTCATTGATAAAGTTATCTACATGCTCAGCTTCAGTAACAAATTTTACAAACGCTTCATTTGAAGCATCCTCAAACTTGGGGTAATTTTAACGTTCATATTCTTTCACCAAGCGCCGACTTACGGTTTCTGATGAAGCACTGATGGATACCTATGAGAAAAGGCAGTAGAAGCGGGTAATATTAGCCGCTAATACTATTGGCTAAAAATTTCCTCGTACAAAGACCTGTATTATACCTTATGCGACTAAGTTCGCAACGGTAGAAGAGGGGGTTACTGTAAGTCTAGGTTATAATTGTGATGTGATGTGGAACAAATTTTTCCGTGATTTGGAAAATGATTCATTCTGGTCCAATAATCATGGACGAAAGAAACTGTAACTTGCTTCGAAAGAATTCACCGGCGATGCGTTCCATGCACAAATACGATGCACCAGTTTCTTGGATATATTGAGCACCACACGGGTTATGCCAACGATTTGATTGATCGTTTGCTTGTTGATTTTTGGTTTCTCCACACACTGACTAACGTTTTGAAGCTTACCATCGGATTCGACGTTAATTTTTCTGTGACTGGAGAGTGATAAATATTTCAGTGAAGACCTGGCAGTACCGTATTTCAGCTTAGATCTTAACGATGTGCTTATTTCATTGCCTGATGAATTATGCTGCGAGATATTACTTACTTATCACCTAAAAAGACTGCATTGTAATGCATGTTCATCAGGGCAAACAAGTTGCTGAAGTTTCGTCTATTCGACGATGACCCTGGAAGAAGATGGGCGAGAGGAGTGCAGGAGGCTGGGCTGGAGTTACTTTGCGTTTCCCAGGTTTGTTTAGCTAAGTGCACAAATTTTTTGAAAATAGTTTGTTTGCCTAAAAGTAATTTTTTCAATTTCAAGCAAATCGTCATGCTCTACAGGTGACATAGGTAATAGATTAATGACAAGGCTCTGCGCTGCATTGTTTAACTTGTTGCTATATCTTTCAACAAGGCGTCGTTCAAGTGTTACTTTCAGTCTACTGACGGATATTTCGCAGGTTTATAAAGACTTACAGTATGCCATAAGGATGGCTAATGTTTGCGCCGAGATCATAGTGTTAACACGAAATTCTTTGTAATTCTCTGATGGAGAACATTGTTCCAGTTCACGCTGTGCTGCGAGCTGAAGGGCAACAAGCCTGACTACCGCAAAGCTATGGCGGGCGAGACGGCCTCCGCATTCTACACACAATTTCTCGAAATGCTTCGACGCGAGTACGAAGCTGAGAAAATTAAAGGCAAGCATTAATTTATCTTAACCCATTAATGCCGATAATTATTTTCTATTTTTTTTTTATTTCCTGTGAGAATATTATCACTTGTGACGTTAGGAAGTAAGAAATATGTTCTAATAATAATTTTTCGTCGTATGTAAAAAATTATAGCTTGGTTCCATTTGGAACCAGGCCAAATATTTCATGATCTAAATGACTTTAGAAACATTATATTACTTAAAACCATATACAGCATTAAAAGTGCTCACTTTATTGATAAAATTCTGCATTCATCTCATAAATATTATATTTTTTGAACGAATTACTCACTTTTCTCCGCTATGATATCAAGCCGTCTTGTGACACCTGGACCTTATAATNCTAAATGACTTTAGAAACATTATATTACTTAAAACCATATACAGCATTAAAAGTGCTCACTTTATTGATAAAATTCTGCATTCATCTCATAAATAATATATTTTTTGAACGAATTACTCACTTTTCTCCGCTATGATATCAAGCCGTCTTGTGACACCTGGACCTTATAATCTTTGAATGTTATTTAAACAGGGAAACTGTCGGCGCAGCAGAACCAAACTTTGCCAGAACATAAACAAGATGTGTATCTAACCTACGCATCCACTTGTATATTTATTTGATCATGCAATTTTATTATGAATCCATTTTTCTCGCTGGTTCCAAATGGAACCGCTCGGCATTAATGGGTTAAACTCGTTTTAGACTTATTGTGATATATCGCTGCAACCTGTTATTGTTTTATCATTGTTTCAACATCAGGCCAAATTTATTCCCAAGATAAACAAGCTCATTTTAGTACAAATAAGCCATATAGAGAAAAATTTGTATTTACTAATATAGTATCTAAAATCAATCTGTGTTGGCAGACGGCGTGTTCGGTGCGATGATGCAGGTCGGCATCATCAACGATGGCCCCGTGACGGTGACTTTGGACCACCCGCCCCTGCCACATGAAAAGAGCAAGCAAGGCGACGTTAGCAGCTCATCCAAGAAATCTTAATAGTTGCATGCAAATAATACAATAAAATTTAGTGAACATGAAGTGGTGCTTCTTTGATAATAATAAAATTATGGGACAAGGGACATTTTATTAATCCTTTTATGACTAATGTTAAAAGGAAGGAATTATAACAGATTATTCAAATATTTGACAGCAAAAACTATCTATTTGACGGCACTAATTTATAAAGCATGGTCGTACATTAATCGCAGGATTTCTTTTTGCCCTCTTTGGCTTGTAGTACAATCTCGTTCTTGACGATGGCAAAAGCCCCCACGACGGCCGAGAGCTGCAGCTTCTCTGACGCGCCCACACACATGCGCTCCTCGGCGGCAGCCAACGCCTTCACGAGCCTCATGCGTGATGCCGTCGGGAAGTCGACTAAATAAAACACGTTATTTTAGCCTTAGTTTGAGGTGACAATTTTACTCAAATGACGAGGTATTTACGCTTATTATTGACTACACTGTTCGTATTAAAACGTGGCACGAAGCAGCTTACCACTAAAATATGCAAGTACAAAGATTTCCAATACCAGGTAGTCTCATTTGCAAAATTCAGTGAATCAATTGATTTGATTAATAGGCAATATTTCATGATATAAATTTTAGTCCAGGCGGTATTTCATTATGAATAAGTAATAACCAACTCACTTTTATGTATGTAATGATGAAGCTCGGTAACGATATCTTGAAGAGACAGCCCTTTATCGACCTTCAACTTCTGAATGTTATTGTAAGCGGACCTGAAATCTTCATTCAGCATCCAATTGATGATTGTCTTGATATCAGAGCGCAAAGGGTGGCCCACGCAGGTATAGACGTTGTCTTCAGTGACTTTGCCGTAAGCCAGATGCGTGGACTGCAACACGTTCAGAACACGTCGCATGTCGCCGCCTGCCAGTGCCACGAGAGCTTGCTTCCCATCAGCCGTCATGTTCACTCTTAGGAATAAAAATGAAAGATAATTATTAACAGAGATAAGCTGACACCTGCATGATATCGAATACACAAATATATTTCGGAGAATGAGAATTGTCATCATATACAATGGTCAAAGGTATGCGTTGTTATAATTCGATCGTTGGATTTCACACACGGACTATGTTTACAATATAACCCTACAATGGGCGCGTGGAAAAACTGACCAGATAAGTAGCCTTTTCGTTTGGTTTCATTACAGTCGAATTTCGTAGGCATGGGTTACATATGTGAGCCACGCAACCACGGTAGGGTTAAACTTCATCAAAATTTCAACTAGGGTCTTCAACGGTTCTAATCAATAAATTTGAATAAAATTGGAAAGGTTGAACTGACTGGAACCATCTACACCAATTTCATATCGTTCTGCTTACAGATGATACTATACAGTACAACTCCCTAGGGAGATTTCACTTAGTTTCATTTCATGAAAAGGCTTCAATAAAGTAACCAAATCAATTATGAAAACCATGAAGTAAATGAAACGAATGTCCATCCATACTCACTGCTCTTTATCAACGACCATTTGTAGCCTGGGGAGCATCTGATCTGTAGTGAGAGGACCGAACCTGAACCGCGTACATCTGCTCTGGATGGCCGGGATAATCTTGCTCAGATAATTGCAGATCAGACAAAAGCGGACGTTTTCTGTAAACTTCTCAATCACTGTGGAAGGGATTTAGGAGAATAGGATTAAGCTGTTTCTCATTGACCTCTGAAATCAAAAACATGGGCGAGTCTTCAATGGAAGTAAAATGGTAAAACAGATGCGCAGGCATAAATTTCATTATTTATACAGTGGTGACAATTTTAATTTCATTGTAGAGAAAAGTCTCACATATGACGAAACACATCATGTACTGTTGCACAAGGACTTTTGAACGAACCGATTTAGGAAAAGTGCTTCAAGAACATTAATCCTTCACTAACTAGGATAAGTTGACAAATCTATTCATTTAAACCAAACCATTCTCTTGAAGAACTGACCGCGCCTGAGGGCGTTCTGAGCGTCGTTGGTCATGGCGTCAGCCTCGTCTAAAATGACGAGCTTGAAGCCGGCCTTGAAGATGGTGCGCGTCGACGCGAAGTTGAGAATCTGTTCACGCACGACGTTGATGCCGCGGTCGTCTGAGGCGTTCAGTTCCAGCACCTGGCACATCACACGTCATTAGAGTACTAATGAAAATTACCTCTACAAATAATTATATTTGAAAATGCTTGTCTCGTATATAATTTTACTTCCTTAAAACTAATTGTACTATCCGCAGAGCTGGACAGCGCTACTTTGAAATGTAGCGGCTGCTACCGCTACCGCTACATGCTCTAAATGTAGCGGGCGCTACCATGTAGCAAACTACTGCCCACTTCTGACTATTTGGTACATTCCAAAGGAATAAATGGCATCAGCACTCTAATTTGTAATATGCATCATGTTTTAGATAATTAATAAAGCTACAGCTTGTGCAAAGTTAACCAATAATAGTTTACAGCTAAATATAATTTAAAAAATTAGGTTCATAGCCAGAGGCTTTCATTTGCTAAAATTTAGATACTTAGAAAATTATACATGAAATATTTTACAGTCATGATTGAGATATAAGAAACGCCTACCATGGAGTTGAAGTGGCTAGGTTTATAGAGCTGTCTTGCACACGCCAATATTGTCGAGGTCTTGCCAGTACCAGGGGGGCCATAGAAGAGCAGGTGTGGAAGGTGGTCCTCTTTGATGAATTTCTCAACTGAAAGATAATGGAGATCCAGTCAGTCAGTGACAAATACATGATAAAACAGAACGCGATGTCAGTTGGGGGACCCAATTATCCCTGATACTTTTTCAACAAAGATTGAAAACAAATTATTAGTGCTAGAAACTCACTTTTTCTTACAGTGAGTGTACTATTCATATTGATGTTGAGCCAATATTTGTGTTTTAAATGGCATTAGTTTCACATTTATGAAACCCAAGTTTCTACACTTTAATTCAAATTTATAGAACTACAATAAAGTAAAGAATAAAAAAAACTTCGCTTGGGAATGTTTCATCATAAATTTCTTATCCTGATAACCAAGGAAAATTAAATAGGAAACAGAAAATTTGATAATTGCAACTGAAATGAACTAGAAATTTAAAGTTGATCTGAATCGATTAACAGCAAAGCAAAAATCATTGAATGCTTTCATGGAATTGAAACACTTGAGTTACTGTAGACAAATCAACACAACACAATACCTATACATAGCTATCACAGTCCACAGATGACACAATACTATAGCGATTCATTTGCCTTGTAAAATTACACATTAATACTACCAAACTTTGCACTAAAGAACCATGAAATGAATACATTTGGAACGTATAAAGCAGCCTAACCTCTAGAATATTGAACAGCTTTGAAAGTCATAAATTTCCATCCCTTGAACTACAAGCAATGAAATGCTCCTGGCTCAATTTGGTCTGGAGTTGTGAGTACGTACATACATTAGTCAGGCAGTGCAATACTAATATGGCTGGATAAATAAAATTCTCAGGTTATATTGTGAGAGTTAAATTAATTACACTTTCAAATATCATAGTAATTGTTCACATTATATAACAAAGAAGATGAATAAATAAATTTCTGATATTGCAATACTCAATAGAGTACATAGCAATACCATTTTAATTGAAACCTAAGGTAATCAATATATTGCTGTAAAAATGTTCAAAAGTAAATAATTCAATCAATGAAAGAGTTCATAATTGAAATGTTGGATGAGTAAATAGTTCATTTGATATAATTAAAAACAATTTAAGTCATAAATACCTTAATACCAAAAAATTAGCCGAAACTCAAATGCAATATATACCGGTAACTTACTAGTGCTGATGATATGTTCATGAGAGACAAGTTCATCTAATGTCTGGGGACGGTACTTCTCCACCCTGTAAAGAAAATTAAAATTAATTAATATATAAACACTTTGGCTTTTTATAAAATAATACATAACATTAGAAGTAAAAATCATACATTTGCCAAACTTGCAGTCAAATGAAATTAAGCAAGAATTTCAGAGACAAAATCCTCACAATTTTCAGTTATCTACTAAAGAGCCTTAGGCCTGATCACAATGATTCTCAAGTCGTGATGATTGCCTCATGTGCCAGAATGAATTTTGCCTGTTAGACCAATGCATCAAGATTATTTGAAAAATTTCTCTGCAATGAACCAAGATCAGTAGAAAAATATATTGCCAGGGTTAATTGAATGTACTTACAAAATGTTCCTATATGAAGTGATGATTGTGATCTAGTCCTAACGTTGACAAAGTAGTTCTGACGTTGACATACAGGTTTGTACCCTGTCAAATTTGACACATTTTTCAATGATCTCGCTGGGTATCGTGCATTGTCTCTCTTTGGATCTCAATATTCTCCCGCTAGATGGCCAAGACCTAGTGTTTTGGCGGTAGTTTGACGCGCAAATGTATGACGTCACCATTTCAACCATCAACGAACGTATGGAACTAAAACAAAGCTTAATATAAAGGAAAAACTAGACAGGTGATGGAATTACCCACGATGTTGGAATATACCGCGTTTACCCTAAAAGACAATTTGAATTCCCGCGCACCTCGCACATCTTCCTAACCATGGATGCATCGTGATAACATATTGGCAGTTGGCAATTTTTTTGGTCTAAAAATGCAAAAATTGGCAATGCATTTAACAAATTCCATACTCTGGCAAAATGCCTGTGCATGCTGTCTATTTCCAATTTGAACATCTGGCAAAAGATTTCTAAAATTGCAGACATAAAATGATCATTTCATAAGCATTTAAAAAAAAATGCAAAGTAAACCTAAAATGTTTTTCCCATTTATAGTGAACTTGAAGAAATAGGCTAGTAAAAAGGCCATAACTTAACGCAATTTAAGAAAATTGCAGGTAAAAATGGATAATTTTTCTCTTTTTTTTTACAGAAGAAATTAGGAAAAGGTGACAGGAACTTCTGAAATTGTCCAGATTCACAGAGTTTTACATCAGATTTACAGGTGACTTTTGCCTAATTTTTCACTTTGGTTGGCTATGATAATTCAGTCAGTGGCTATGATACCTAGCTTAGGCTAGCTAGGTAATTCAGTTAGCAGCTATGATAATTCAGTCACTGCAAATGAAATCATCAATGCAAAAATTCATGGTGACAAATCACAGACATCTTAAAATCATTTAATTTTCAATTTCCTCGTCTACTTGAGACTTAAACAAATTTTTGTGTCCATCATAATGCTAGTATCCATGATACTTTACTAGTCTACTTAAAAACCTCAAAAATAAACTTGAGGGAGAGTAGGCTAGGCCTATAAAAAAATCTTTGCCTTGCCTCTATGATCAATGATTTTTACGTGATCATTACTCAACTTACCATGGTAAATTTTCCGTTTTTGGCGCTGTACTCATGATAATGCTATGGCAATCAAATAATTATAAACTAAAATTTAACTTTAATTGCTCACAAATTATTACCTACTAATAAACACTCAGGACCTCAGATTAAAAGTTTTTGTCTGCAGTTAGAACTCAGAAGATACTGTCAGTGTCTATTTCAACTGAAAACAAACCCAGCTGTTTGATTTCGCGCGCGGATATTTGGTTCATTTACTAAATGGCGGATCTGAGTAGAAAATCGGTTGTTTGCTTTAGAATAGAATAGAAGTGTCGGCGTTGAAGAAATAGGCCCATGGCCTGTTGCCTTCGTTGGAGGTGGTCTCAGTCAGTTCAATTGTCAAACCTGGACATGGCATTAGTTTATGATTTTTTGAACATTGATTTCCAACCACTTATAGGTTAAATTAGCTCATGGAAATACAACTTTTTTTGCTGATCTTTTTGGCTATGATGATTTGATGTATGGTACTTCAAATAACCATCAATTGTTTGCGGGATGGCAGTTTTTCTAAATTTTAATGATCTCCTCAACTGGTCTATAATACAATAGCAGTTTCAGCGTTTACTAGGCCATAGGCCTGTCGCCGATTCTTAACATCGCAGAACATCCACAGCTTGTTGCAGTCTCAAACTCACAACTCACTGATTCAAATTCTGCTGTGCTTTATTAACCGCCTGGCCTCCTCGCCGATTCTAACCAGAAACTGGCGCACAGAGCTGGGATCGAACCCGCGCCAATCTTGGTACTCGGAACTTTAACCACTGGGCCACACTGCCTTCATCGTATTTCCTTCCAATTCATCTTCATAGTATTTCCTATTAGCTGGTGCTTGCTTGAAGGCCTGAAGTTGTGTTCCTTTATTTTAACTGACACGGCTGGGATGGTTCCCCTTCAAAGTGTCTCCAAACGGCCAGTGCTTACAAGGAAGGCAGCGACTTCTTTAATGATGAGATACTGTGTTTGTTTCTGGTAGTCTCCTCCGCCAAGCAGTATCTGCGTGGTCAAGATCCCAATGCCCAAGCTCTATAGAGTCTGTTTCAGTTTCTGGCGCACAGCACTAAAACGACTACACTCGAGTAGGAAGTGATCAATAGTTTCTTCCATGTTGCAGGTGGCACACAGGGACGAGTCGGACATACAGAATCTGTGCAAGTATGCATTCACGCCCACATGTCCCAGGCGAAAACGGGTCAGTACAACCGATATACGTCGAAAGTTTGCATGCAACCAAGGGGAAGGGAGTAAATCATCCCTAACAGTCAGTTGGGGATGACCCTTCCCAGTCACTGCAAAAGATTGGCGCCAGTCTGCCTGACAACGTGCTAGAAATTGCCTGTTCAGCCGGTATCTTTGATCAAAATATTCAACCGGGTGGAAGTAGTTGTGATCAAGTTCATGTCCCAATTAGGCTGCCCGGTCTGCCAACTCATTTCCACTAATCCCAGCATGAGCTTTCACCCACTGCAGTACAATTAGTCTCTTAACATTCAGCCTCCTGAGCAGCTCCCGTATGCGGAAGGCACAAGTGATCGCCTGGAGTGCGGGCCTCTTGAAGACTGCAGCAGAAACAGAGCAGAACGTGAGTCGGAGTAAATGACCCAGTCATGGTGCGAAGCACCCTCAACAACAAATCAATGAGTGGCAGATGGCGAGGAGCTCAGTGGTCAAGACACTGCTTCTCAGGTGTAGGCGCAAAGAGACGGCTCTATCCTGTGAAGGAATATAGATTCGACAGGCACTGGACTCCTGGTTGGGTAGACGAGAACCGTCACAGTATATAGCACAGAATCCAGAAAAAATTTCGCCCATAGTTGCATTGTTTTGAAATAGGGGATCCACACTCAAGTGTCGAGTCCATGCTGACTTGGAAGTGTTCAACAATCGTTTGCCTGGGGGGGGGGGGGGGACTGAATTAAGCGTGGGTACTGGTATGCGTAACTAGGGCCAAACTGACGAAGATTGGCAGCAGATGAGGCGAGGGCAGAGTCAATCCTTGCGTTAAGAGGCAATTTTAATGAAGCAGTCTGATCATTGGACGGTCAATAGCACATCTTTAGGGCCGATTGGGTCCCAAGTAACTGACGGCGGAGAGACAAAGCAGGTGTGTGCGCTTTCGCTTGCAGGAAGACGCTGTGTGTTGTTCGTCGCGCTCCCAAGAAGGCATTCTGGAGTACCACCAGCTTGGTAAGCATCGAATTTGAGGCCGTATGGTAGAGCGTGGATCCATAATCAAGCTTTGCCCGGATGTAGACACAATAGAACATCCGCAGGAAACTCCTTGATGCACCCCAGCTTGAAGAAGCCATGTGCTTGAGGGGGTCCATTCTGCGAATAATGTCGCTTCGCAAATTGGCGATATGTGGTCCCCAATGTAAGCGAGGAGCATAGAAGATCGTGCCCAACACTCTGTTGTGCTCTATAGTTGATAATTTTATCGTCAGAACTGGAATCTGCTTGCATTTGTTAGATAAATATTGGAAAACAGTTATGTTGGGGGGGTTTACCACCAGTCCCCATCGTTTGAAGTAAGAAAAAACGGGAATAATTCATTTATGTATTCATCCCATTGACAGTTTCCCTCTAATCGGCTTGAAAACCTTGACTTGCATTGTCAAAGAGGAAAAAAAGCAGTTTAGAAATGCACGTTAGCCTTGAAAAGCGGAAGATAAACAATGAACGCGAAATTTCATTTTCGAGCTAAATGGAAGAGAGCTAACGGGATTGAAACCTTGGTTGATAAATGTAACCCTCTTCAGATTTATCGAATCAGCAGTGGTTACAGAAATAAAAGATCGGGGATGGCATAAGAATAAAGAACGAATACATTCAAGAAAAAAATTTGTTCGAAAAAAATCTATGTGATGAATATAGTACAAGACCCCAAATGACAAAGATGGAGGAAAGGGGGGTGACCGCAGGTAAAGAAATTTAATAAAATAAATGCAAGGTAAATTGGAGATATGTAATGAAATTATCGCCGGCGCTTTCATTAGGGTTTGAGCCCCAGAATTTATAGTTGTTTCCGACTTTCCGAGGAGATGGATTTTACATGCAGAATTGCTGATCTAGATGACTCAACTCCCACTACACAATGAGTACACGAAAAGTTCGGCAAATAAGATTTACAAATATTCCATTGCGCACAGGGAAGGATCATTAACGACACAATTTAGATAAAAATCATATAATGTTAGAGAATTTACTCGAACATCAATTATGTATTGCAAAAAAATAAGCGAGATAATTGACAAACGTACATCAAAGTAGTTCTAGTGAGAGATCGACGATGGCTCCTACGCAAATTTGGTGATTGCAGAACGCAAGGCCAACCATGTAGCCAAATCATAAAATTTAATAACGAAACCCTGACAGATTACAGCTTTGCTTGTAAAAACGTAATAACTACATGGATAGACAACTACACACTCGAGACAAAATATAAACCTACAGAATAAGACGCACCGTTGTGCCATGCCCAATGACTTCAGTCGTTCATCGACTTTCCTCTAATTAAAAATTCTGCAACACAGAGGAAGTACTTTTGATTATCAGCGGACTGTATGTCACGTGATACTGAGTATGCATCAGCTCGTAGATTCATTTAGGTCGACGAATTGATTGAACAGTTAAAAAATATTAAACCAAAATACGAAAAACTGCACAATACACGCGCATCTGACACTTTGACCGAACAGTTTCTATGCAAAACGTTGCCGTGCGATTTTGACAACAAAGAAAGCAACGAGCAGAACCGACCAATAATCAAGAAGAGTTACAACTAAATGCAACATGATGCGCTCGCGCCACGTACGCCCCGCAACGAACGTTTAGTTGATGTCAAATTATTTATTGTGAGCAGCGCTCGACTGGCCAGGGACTAGAAACGGTCCCTGGAGCGAGACCGGGAGCGGGAAAACGAGCGCCGTACAGGTGAGTACGTGGGAGAGCCTCGGTAACCCCGGGGAGACCGAGACCGAGAACGGGAGCGGAACCTGTACCCGCCACCACCACCGCCGCCGCCGCCGCCACCACCACCACCACCACCGCCGCCGCCGCCGCCACCACCACCACCACCACCGCCGCCGCCGCCCCCACCACCTCGTGGGCTGCCACCACGGGGGCTCCCACCTCCATAATCTTCCTTCACTCGGATATATGAATTTTCCCCCTGAGAAAAATGGTAGCATCACTAACAGGAAACTGGTAACCAAAAAAAAAAAAATAGTTGTCAATTAAAACAAGGAAATTAAATAGCTAAAAGTAAGTTGTCAGTCAATACATGAAACGAGCAAATGCTAACAACTGGCATGATAAAATTGTTTACCAAGTACGCAAATTAGCATGATAAGAAACCATAATACAACTGAAACTAAATGTCAGCCAAGATTAAAAATAGACAAACTTGTTCGTACCTCGTGCGATCTGAATTTGGAGTCATCAAGTTTGCGTATGCTGTTCTTCATATCTTCATATCTGAGGAACTCTACTACCCCTGTGCCATCTTTGTAGACGTCAGCGTAGCAGACATCACCAGCTTCACGCATGTGATCCTTCAGATCCTGCCAGCTGCCAGAGGGTGGAAGGCCTGCACAACGAGTCGAACATGAGAACGATTGCGAGGCACGTAACAAACCTAGCTCATCAGAGAGGCTGCCTAAGTAACTATGAATGACAGCAAAGACCCATGATGGAGATATGGAGGTTCATCGGGGTATGATAACATGAGGCTAATAATGAGATCTCCAAATCAGTATGATAGAAACAAAGAAGCACCGGTGAGAAATTGAAAGAAATAATACACACAAACACCAAGATTAAAAATAGGATACAAGGTAAATCTAAAAACTGAAGAAGAGCAGAAATGAAATCACATATGATTTTTAACAATTCATGCTTGTACTTCAATACACAGACAATAGAAAGTGGAAAACCCGGAACTTGTGCTAAATATGATTGCCCATAAGACTTCCATTGATTAGTGCTGGTGATTTTCACCGAGGATGAAATTTTAGAAGAGATGAAAACTAACGCCTGGCTACTGAGACTTAGGTATTTAATAACAACATTGCAGTTTCCAACGTTCAAGAGCATAAATAAATGATGTATTGGGTGCAAAACATTGTCAAGTCACACTTAAATCATAAGTCTAACATGAAGCCATACCAATACCCCAGGACTAAACAGATTTTAATTCATAATTAGAAAAAAGTGATGAAGCTAAATTTTTACAAAAATTTTAATGACGTATAATTTGATCAATTTTCAATATAATTGGCATACATTAGCCCCATGTTAGTGGGAACACCTTCTTACAAGTACGAGTCCTCAGTCAAAGCTGTCCAGAGTATGTAATCCAATGCTATGAAAATCCAACATCATTTGATATGCAGTGCATTCCATTCCTCATCCGATAAGGAAGAACAATCCACACGGGAGTAAGCCAGCCATCCAATCAAATCGACAAAGGTGGCAACTTTTGCATGATTTGTATGAGTCCTCAATGAATCCCTTGTGACGACACTCAGGCCAATCCTTAGGTGCTGAAAAACACTCGATGAGAAAGAGGAAACGTCGGTCACTGATTTGTTTCAAACATGAAGAATATCTCCTAGCTGCCCTGCCCCTACTATAAGCAGTAACTCTTTAAATCATATACAAGCATATAAGCTTCAGATTTTCCTATTTCTACTTACCTTTGACGACCAATCAAACTTGAGGTTTAAACTCGTATGATATGAAGTACTACAAATCTCACATACAAGAAAAATATTCATTTGCAGAATGATTCATCGAAATACCACTAAGCTTCATGATAATTTGCCTAGAGTTCTCATAGGACATCAATAAATAGTCCTCAAAAGTGATATGCCTTAAATTGATATGTTTGGATCCCTTGACAATAAATAGCATAAGGATAAATAAATGCACAACCAATTTCTACATTGAAGTTGACTCAACAGGACACTCACCAACAAGTTGCACAAAATCAAGTGAAACTCATATCAGAAGAAAGTTTACAGACCACACCCTAGTGACTGATAACACTTCATAGCATAAAGAGTGTCAGGGGACATTCAAAGCCTGATCATTAACATTTTTTCAAGAAACTCTCGATAACTTTAATTAATTATAAAGAGTCAAGTCTACAACAAATTATGGCAAACCAAATCAAATTCAGATATGTCTGGATCAACATTACCAACCGAAATAAATTTTTAGCAAAATATTTATAAGCTTGACAAAACTCTTTTATACATTTTATTTCAATCAAAATAAGTGTTGCAGAAAAGGACAAGATAATTTTTCATTCTAATTATTTATGACAATGGAGATAAATTGTCTATATAATACAAAGTAGATGAATGGCCAAGTTCTTGCAATGAACACTCACCAGTGACGCAAACTCTGTACTGAGACCGACGTGCTGGTGGGCCCCGGCCTCTGCCCCTACCACCCATTGCACTGCTGCTGCTGCCGCCTCCCCTCGGGCCACCGGGATCTCTGTTGCGTGGAAATTCCACACGCAAGCGGTACCCATCATAGTCGTAGGAATCCCGGACACGTACTGCATCCTCAGCATCTCTGAAAAGATATAAAATATTATATCCATAAATATAGGACACAGCATAAATGGTATTTTTGTTCATATCTATTTCTAAAAGATGTTTAATAGTAAATTTCAGTGGGAGAGCAAGCCAAGAAAAGAATTTTCAGATTGCCACCATTAAAAGACTAATTACTTCAGAGGTACGACAACAGTTTGGGGACATCAGCAGAGGTAAATAATATACGTTTAAAAATTACTTTTTAAAGACAACACTTCTAAAGAATCCAGTGTCACTAATGTTAAAGATGTACAATGAATTTCTCATTTTATTTTCGAATGTTAAAAAAAATTAATTTTTCAATTTTTATAATATATAACTTTTTCAAAATTATTTATTCCGTCAATTGATTCATTCCTTGCCTCCGACTTCAAACAAGTGTGCAAAATTTCAGATCAATTGGACAGGTAAAAGTGTGTCAAATATCAGTTATAAGATTTGTATAGCTGACAAAAGTATTTTTTCAATTTTTTTAATATCGAAAAAATTCACTTTTTAAATCATTTATTTTGTCATTTGATTCATGCATTGTCTCCAACTTTACGCAAGTGTGCAAAATTTCAGATCGATAGGATAAGTAGAAGTGTATTCAATTTCGATTATAAGATTTGTAGCAGACAGACAAACAAGAAGTGAAGTTAAAGAGAAGTGTTGTAAAAAGATATCTACAGTACATTTTATAAGGTTTACATCAGTTGAGATTTATATTTAGACATATGAGTTGGATTTCTATCTAATATTTACATCAAATAATGAATTTGTAATTTCATCACTTTTTTCTTTCTTCAGTGATCAAGTGTGCCACATTTCAGCTGTCAGTTCAGTAAATAAAAAACCCAATATGGCCACACAACCATTGATCTTTGCATTGACTTTATTAAAGCAATACAGTAAATTTTTCAACAATTGCAGTAAGAGGATAACTGCATCTCTAAAATATGCACAAATAAGAAATTATGAAATTGTTTATGAATTCTCCCTCCCAACTATTTTTATACTGGAATAGAGTTGAATCTCGAGTCATTTATGAATGAATTGCCTTTGTAGAAAATTTAGTGGTGCATATTCTGAACCAAACTATTAGACAATGTCCCAATGAGTTAAGTTTAGACTACTCGATTTGCAATAGTCGACTTCTTGAAAGAAATGTTAGCCTCATTGTAATGTATTGCAATAGGACAGTCAATGCCAATAACATTGCTATAGCACCAAAGACTGGTCAACAAAAATGCACAATCAAACCACAAGTCAGAATTTCTTGTCAAATTATCACTTTGGAAAATTGGACAGCAAAGTGGTAAATCTGAGATTTTTTATAATCCGTTCATTTTTAATTATCTGATCTACTCAAGATTTCAATCTAAATCTTAAATATATGTGTATATATGATAATGCTGGTATCAATAATACTTACTGGCTACTTATAGTAAAAGAATCTAAAAACAGCCCATACCAATGGTGGGTAAAAAAAATGCACTGGTTAAAAAATTATCTATACATAGTATATTAATAGGCCCACAATTTTTTTGGCCCTTTTTTGGTCATTTCTGTCAAATTACTAGAAAAAAATAACTTCACAGATAGTTTCTTTTAACAATTTTATCTTAGCTCAACCTAAACTTCAACATCAATTTTAACTTTGCTGCTAATTTAATTTGCATACTGCATGTATTTTCTCAAAGTGAAACAAAAAGAACACAGTCATGAAAAATATATTATTTTTTTGGTATAATTTTATTTAGATACAGTAGGGTTTATTTTGTGACCAAAAGTTTACGTTACATGTTATTTTTGCCATACATCAACTCCTAAGTCCATTAAATCAGTCTAAAAATATTAGTCATTACTAAAAGCCTGCATTCAAGTTTGTGAAATGGAAAGTCAAGTCAATATAGACTTTGGTCTCTTTAGTTATGCTGCCAATTGATCTTTGAGCTATTTAAATACTCAAATCTTGACAAACACAATAAAAGAAGGCTGGTGATGAAGAAGATAAATCTTTCAAATGTATTCATTATTTTCAAATGCAAAATTCACTTTACAAAATTTATACATGTGGGTTTTTTTCTAACACACAGGTTTTTTTTGAGCACACAGGTTTTTTTTTGAGCACACATGTTTCTCTATAAATTTAGAATAATTTAGCCTCATAACTAAAAATCACTAGCATTACAAGCCTGGCAATTTTTGAGTAGGGTGAACACACCATATTCCGACACCTTACGGACATAGCAAGAAATAAATGGCTATAAATAGATCACCGTATGAGCAACTTGAGTTCTGATTTGTTTATGTCACTCTCAAGACACCATACTATGCGCCAGCAGCGATGAAACGTCACACACTGTTGCCATAATTATTTAACCCTTAATGCCCTGGTGTGACGAATTCGTCACACCAGGGACTAGCTACATTTTCCAACAATTTCACGTTTTCTGTCATTTTTTAAAAAAATTCACAGGAATAAAAAAAGTCTTAGATTTATTTTTTACATATGTGTACCAAGTTTCAAAGTTATGTCAGTAAATAACCAAAATATAATTTCCAATTTCCAATGGCAATGTCCAATTTCTTATGGAAATTCTATTTCGGTATTTAATAACAGATAACTTTGAAACTTGGTACACATATGAAAAAGATAAATCTAAGACTTTTTTGTTCGTAGGAATTTTTTGAAAAAAGTGAAAGAAAATGTGAAATTCTTAGAAAACCGCCAAAAAGGGGGTACTGTAGAAATCTATCTCCTCCTATGATTTTCAAGCTACAACATCGAGACTCATATCATTCGATGCGTAAGGACCATATCTATCGATTGGTCCTTGCTGTTTTTCGAAATTCTAATTTTTGTGGGTGGGGTGGGCATTTTAAAAAAAATTATTTCTCCCCCCACCCCTTCGAATTTCCCCTCCATCTTATTCAAAACATTTTCAAAACTTTAACGAAATTGAAAAAAAGCTTCGACCAATCTAGATCTTTTATTGGCAAACCAAACGGTTTATTAATCATTGCTGTAGCTTAAAAATTCTGGGAGGAAATAGGTTTGCAGTGACAATAAGTGTGAATGTTCAGTAGAGCGCGACAAAGTCCCGAGTGCCTCGAAATAGGCATTCAAGGTGACATGGATGCAAGACTAGACATTACTGGAGCCGAAATTCAGTCAAGGATAGTGGGAACGACTGCATGAGCACCATCCCGCACGACAGCAGCCGGATAACTAAAGATCAGCGTCTTCAGGTTGCATATTTATGTGCCCAACCAGTAATTTTCGCCTATATTAAATGTGAAAGAACTCCCCCACCCCTAACACTTTCACAAACTGTCGTCAAGGCATAAATCAACGTACAGAGATGATTTTGGTACCATTGGATAGGTCAGAATGTCAGCTTCGAAGTGAGACTTAAAACCGAAAAAGTGAATTTTACAATTTTTGTCCCAGAAATTCAGGGCGTAAAGGGTTAAAAAGCCTTTAGAATTCAAATCTACAAAATCAATGAATTCCAACACTGTGTGACTAAATGCGGCATATTGCGAGACTAACTCCAACAGCACTTCAAAATTGTAATTCGCAATTCCGACACCCTGTGTCAGAATTAGTTTTTATGTGTCTAAAACCATCTCTTAAATCAATAATCTATTAACTACTTAAAATCAGCAGGTACAAGTATATTTAAAGGATTCCCAATATATTCACAGACTAGTTTAAAAGTCTCAAACCATAATACCTATTCTTTCTACACAAACAGTTTATCCCTATTTAGTAAAGCAAGGTCAACTATCAACTTTCAAACGCGTTTTGATGTCCTCACTAGCTGACATGGACTTGCTCTGAGGATCTTAACATTTTCCGCTAGACCTAGTGTTTTGTAGAAATCTTGCCCGCAATAGTATGACGTCACAATTTCCACCATCTACGCTTGCGTGGAACTAATACCAAGATTAATATAAAGGAAAAAGTTGAGGAGTGTTGGAATTATCCACAGTATCGGAACATGGTGCGTTTACCCTATATAAAATTTAGAAACTACTAGTACTCATGGTCATGAGGTTTGGTACAAAAGTCACTACAAATTTCACAGTGCTAGTCTGCTAGATATAAGCCAATTCTTCAAAAGACATATGGGAAAACATTTTTTTTTTTTGAGTTTGAGACTACTTATTTAATAGGACTAAAAAAATGAAATTGGAAGAGCAAGAAAAACATTTTTCCTTAAAATTTTGTTGGGACTTGGGTCTTGGGCTGCACAATGTAGGCAAGCAGAGCCAGAACCACTCATACCAGCAGTGTAGTCTGGAAAAGTCCTATTTTTGTCTGAAATATCGCGGCTCTAATATCATATAATTTCAGTAGGTATGAAATCTCGCGGCTCGAATGTCAAATTTTTGTTTGATTAAAAAATCGCGGTTTGCACTTCGCAAACATGTCATTTCATAAAATTTTCAACTTCCGCATTGCTTTACCGTTTCCGCCAAAAATATCTTGCAGAAAAAACATAAACATCGTAATGTAAACAAATAAACTAAACGTTTGTTGAAGATCGCGCATAGTTGCGGTCATGTCAAAGCGGTCAGACTGTATATTAACACGTGCTGAACTTACAGTAGAGACAAATTTTATTGTTGCCGTTTGACTGTTTAAGGGTAAAATTAGAGATTTGGGGTAACACGTGCATAAACTTTGTAAATAAATTTGCATTCGCACCTCGTAAATGGCTTTTCATGGCCGAGATATGGAATTCACGGCTCGGTGAAATAGAATCACGGCTCGTAGAAATGGAATCACGGCTGGCAAATCCATAAAACCACGGCTTGAAAAATTCAGTTGCGGCTTGCCAAGTAGATATATTCCATACTAGCCAGCAGGCAGCATCATCAAACACAAGTCTCATGATAAGAAATTGGTTAGGCCTAGCTAAAATCTTGAGGCAAGTAGATGCCAAATTAAAAGTGAACAAATTCTAAAAAGTCGGTGTTTCTGTGGTTTGTCACTAGCTACTCACTACTAGCCACTAGGTAGTAGGGTACCTATGCAGTAGGCCCCTTGGGAACAAGCCAATTGCAAATTGGACAAAAATGTATGAGTAGGTATGGCCAATTTAACCTATTACTAACTAAGGCAGTAATGCCCTTTCCTAAATTTGTTAAAAAATATTTTGACACGTTTTTTTTAGCAAATTCAAAATACCTACCTAATTTTTTTCATCTACAATTTTAAGAAAGTTCTGTCCATTCTAGATTGGAATGGCACAGCCAAGTGCTAATAGTGACAAATGAAATAATTTTTGAGAAACCAGTAAATTCAAGCAGCAAGTGAATGAATTTGGATTTGTAGCGTGGTTAGGTAGGTACACTAAAAAAAAATCTTCTGTTCAGACGTCAGGCTATTCACGATTGAGGCGAAGAAGGAAAATTACGTTTTCAATTATAATTTTATAGCTAAATTGCTCGAAGAAACAAAATAAACATAAGCATAATGAGTAGTAATAAAAATGACAAAGCCCAGAAATGTGATAGCCTAGGCGTCTTTCTTACCTTGGATCTTCAAACTCGACGAAAGCAAATGGAGGACCTTTACGATTTTTCAGATCGATGAACAAAATTTTTCCAAATTTATAGAATAAATCTTCAATATCTTTAGACCTAATATCCGGGGGCAGATTTCCCACATAAATTCGATTTTCACTGCGAGACATAGTGAGCGGAGGAGCTAGAGCCTAAACGTAATAGGTAGAAAACTCAAAGTCAAATTAAAGACTGCCGTACTAACGAGCGCGGCAGCGTCTGCCCTAGTGTTGCCAAACGCTATGGTGCAAAACTATGAAAGTCTCTACAGTCGATTTTAAGATACGTCATCACAAATGTTTTTTTTTGTCTCGCAGCCAAATGTACTTGCTTTCAACTTTTCTGCAACAAATCTGCTTTGAACTTTTTCTGCAAGGGTATTTTCGCATGAACTAATCTAATCAAGATTGTCAATCATTTTGCAAATTGAACCAAATTTTGAACAATTTCCTTCACGTCAATTCAACTAAATTAATTGAATGGTGATTAAGTTGACGGACAATATATCTTGGACATGGTTAACTTTATTTGTCGAGTGGTTGTGGTGAGCAGACGATAGCCATCGATAATATTTTTTGGAATTGGTTCGCAGGCGAGTTCGCTGAAGTGTCGAATCGGTGGTGACCTACGGTCACGACCTTTAAATCGGTCATACACGCTGCCTAAAAAACTTTTACTAGCATCAAAAAAATTAAAAGTTCACACTCTTATGTTAACAAAAAAGTTCAAATATACCATATTCACAGCTGTCCTAAGAAAAAATATAAAAATTTGACAATCGCAAAAAATTAAAACCACGTACTAAAACAATTCGGTACGTTCACACGTCTTCCCACCCTCCCCTCTCTCAACCCTCCATTCCTCAAGACTCCACTCTCATCATCCTCCTCCTCTCCCTCATCCTCCACACGTTTTCCAAATATCTCTTCACACTCTCAAACATAGCCGCAGTTGCTCCCTCAGACAGACCCGTAATTATCGCCATCCACTCTTCGCTTGTTCTCTCATGCCCCACCTCGTTAGTCTTACCCCTCTCATTCAGAATCACCTCAATCATAGACTGACGCTCTCTCTCATACGCCCCACATTCCATCAACAAGTGCTCTACAGTTTCCTTCTCATCCCCATCACACATAAAACATTCATCTTCTCTCCTTTCATTCCACCTGTATGTACGTCCATTCACACCTAGCGCGCCTGCCCTAACACAAAACAGAAGGTCCCCACCTCTACTACCATCATACATACATTCATATTTTGGCTTCGCTTTCATCTGATACAGTCTTAGAGAGTCCTTTTCCTCCATTCCTTGCTTCCATACCTTCAGCCCATAGTCTTTCACTCGCTCATTTATTTCTCTTTTCCACTCTTTTTCATCCCACTCTATCCCAATCGCACCCCGTACTGTCACCACCCATTCTTCCTTTGGTCCAGCGGGCCTTTGGCGCACCCATGCTTCATGCATGCCACACTTACGCACCACTGCCCGACATCTGCGTGCCCATTTGCTCACCTTCATGTTCCACATATACATCTTTCGAGCCCAACGTTCATCATCCATTCGCTCCAGTCTCACTTTATACCTCAAAACTGCTCTCATTCTTTCATTGAAGGTATTCCAACCCATGTCTCCTCTCAGGGCCTCTACTGCAGTCCACCTGGGGGCTCCTAGTGCCAATGTCGCCACTCTATTTTGTACCAATTCCAATTTATCTAGCTCGCCATCACTATATGCTATCACATCCAGTCCATACATAATGCTAGGCACTGCTACACTCTTCCACACTTCTCTCAATACTTCATACTTACTCGCTCTCACTTTTGCTGACATGAGGCATGGCCCCTGTCAATCGCTAGCTCGTCAATCGGTCAAGAAGCGCATGCAGAGGCTGCAAAGCGCCTCTGCATGCGCTTTGAGGCACTTGACTCTCGTGTGTTGCCCCTAGTGTAAACGGGCCTTAACAGAACACTGATTGAACACTTGCCTCATATCTTAGGGCCGTAGCCCACTTCTAGAATGTGGAGGCTAGAATTTTACTCTAATCAATTATGCCAATCGATAAATTTTAACCGGCTAAAATAAACGAGAAGTGCCTTAAAAGTTTTTACTATATGTAAATTACGACCTAGGCCAATTGTTCAACGTACCCCAATGAATTTGTAATTGAGTTTGCTCATAGTACTGCTGTACTTTCCAAAAAAGATCTCCAGATATTTCTTCCAAAAAAAGACATTGAAGTTTCGGTTGATTACTAATTAAGGCGTGTAATTGATTTTCAGAAGGCTGCCATTCATGACCATCCAGAAAATGCACATGCATGCGTTCAACATTTGAGTGAAGTTTAACAAGGATATTTATGAGTCCTTCACAGATTGTGAAACTTAAGGTTTTGATGTTGGGTGCCGAAGACAGCAAAGAATTGAGTAAAACGAGCCATAACCTACAGCTTGATAAGCTGCCTTCTATTTCACCAGGTCCTCCTTCATGTAGCCAAATCTCGCTTAAGGTTGATCGTTGTGGGAACGCAAGCGTGTCGGATGTAGCAGTAGGAAGACGTATCAATGATCGATTCCAAACTTTGAGCCTAAGGCGCTCGACTTGGGGGCAAGTTTCCAGAACCAACTTCACCAAGCTCGTTGAAAGTTGTTCAGAATCGCTACAAGCTTCAAGCGTAATATCTATCAGTGACGAGGCTCTTGTAAGTATGAAAGGAATGAGAATTGAACGAGTGTGCCAGTCATCTTTTGAGACGTTGGCGTGGATCGAATGAATAGTTTTCCTCCCTCGGGCAATGTGAGCAAGTTGACACCCTATTTTCTTAACAGCAGCGGCCGATGATCGGGCTTGGGTTGTTCTGCAGTCGATTCTAAGGGTTGTGAGGAGAGGGCAGTGCCACACAAGCCTATCAAGACCATCGGCCGAAAGTTCGTGCAGGTAATCAGCCTTTATGAATAAATTGTCAATTGATAGCGTTCCAGATACTGACATGGCCTCAATTATTACATCTTCACAAAAATTCTCGTAACCTTCATCGAAGAAGTTAAATTTCCATTCACTGTAAATCAAATTTAAATTTTTATATAATGCCAGGAGCGCTATGTGAAAATCTGAAATAATTCGAACTGGACCATAGCTGAGCTCAATTTGTTTCAAATTTGCGAATTGGATTTCGACTCTTTGTTTTGGTTTGATCTTCAAACACTTCACTAGATTCTCATAAGATTGATCACCAAAGAATGCTCGAGCAAAGCCTTGACGTGATAGAACCAGCCAAGGATAGCAGTGTAAGAGCCGCAGCCTCTCGAGCCTCGGACAGAACTTGCTGGCAGCCACGAGAAGATCGTCGGTTATATTCAAGTGGGACAGGTTGAGCTCTCTTATGTTCGGCGCCGCCTTCAAAACGCTCTCAACAATGCCGGGGTACATCGCTCCATAGCACGACAACACTTTAGTCGGTAGTGGCTCAAGGGATTTTATCAGTTCAACCATCCAGTTCACCCACACTGACGGAACTACGCATAACTTATCCCTGTCTCCATAATCACGATCTATGAACACTTCTGTCAAAAGTACTAATTTCAGACACAGTTTCGATAGATGCTGCACGAAGTCAGAATCGTCCTTCGGGTGGACTTCCGTCAGTCTGTCCACAGCGGCGTTCAGACAACGTAGCAGGCCGGACTTCGGAAGTTTCATCCAGAAGCCTTTGACTGCCAGCACGGACACCTGTCAGTATCCAGTTAATATCGGAGTATTCTGGACAAATCATTCGATCATATACAAATATTTAAAACTAGTAATAATAATCATAAGTACAAGTATCCTACACAGTTTGGTAATAGATAATACCTGACAGTCTGACACTAACTTAATAAGCAATAAATAGTCTCCAGCAGTGATAATTTTATTTATTAATTATTTGGATGATTGTTCCATTATACCTGTATCTCTTGCTTTGCCCTTTCCAAGCAACAGGTCGTGGCCGAGTCCGGGCAAGAATGACACGACCGGGAACCCTGAGGAGCATCACCTCGACCATCAGTATGCATTGAAGAAGGATTTACACTATTTTCCACAGCTCTAGTGTCTTCTGTGCATTCCTTCACGATTTTATTACGATGTTGGACGAGCAGTTGCTTAGGTATTGAGTCTAAGGCTTTCTTGACTTTGTAGTTCACGGCAGAAACGACTGCCTTTACTACTGTGAGGGACGACAGATCCTCCAGCGATGCTGCTGTGCACCAAGCCATCTGGAAATCTAATCGTAATATATTCTATATTGGATAAACATGAAGCCCTATAAAATTTCAAAAATCGGCTTCATAATGATATACATACCAATATTTAATTGAAAACCGAAAAAGAGAAGTTAATCAATTTATCTGATCTATATCAATATGCAGGCGAAGAAAACGCTTGCAAACTAAACTCCATGTGACAGCAAAATTACAACAGGGGAGTTGCTCTCACCCTGTCGCACTATACCTAACTGAGAGAAGTGAATACGTCTACGTAAGCGCCTCTCTTTAACATATTATTTATATTCACTAAATATATTATGTTTATCAAAGTTTTGTTTGTTTGTGATTGAAGCCTGACTATGAAAATACATGGAGTCGGTTGGGGGTGATTAATGATATTAATCGTGTCGGTATGAAACTTTGATTTTTATCACTTGTGGGAGAATAGCAAGGCGTGGCAAAAGTTGGGGAAAAACATGGCTGGTAAATTGAAATTTTGTTTTTAATTTGTACACAAAAATGTTGTTTGGAAGATCCAAAATAGTTTTTCATGTTTAAATGGAAACGAGTCAACTGGGAGTTCTTTGTAAAATGTGGCTTCAAATTGGCCATTTTGGTTATCTCGCAGGTCATTAGGTCATATGTCAAACTGGACATTAATTAGCACTCATAAGCTTTATTCCTGTGAACGGTACTATGGCCAGCGGGAATGACTTGTCTTGGATGACGGTATTCCAAAATTGCAGGGTTTATTATTATTAATCTGTCACTTAGTTACAATTGGAATTCTAAAACGATTAACAAGTTGATATGTAGGAAATAATTCTGACGGGAATTGAACAAAAAGTAATTACCAAAAGAATTCAAATTTGACCGAAATTATATGAGCTTTTCTTCAGTTTGTTTTATTGTCGTATAAAAAAGGTTCATGGGATTAAATACAGAGAGAAACTTGATGCCTAGGCATCTGAGGTGAAGGCTACCTTACTAGGGGTTTGTTTACGTCAGGCAGGGCGGAGCCAGAACGTATATATAGCGGAGCTGCGGTGTGTAGGCGTCGAGTTGAATGCAACTTGGAGAGCGCAGCAGAGTTGCGGAACGGCGTGTGGGTGTATTTGCTCTACAACAACTGTTTAAATAGTTTACTAAATCAAGGCACGAGAGTTTATCAAAGATTTATTTTGAAGCGAATTTCACGGATATCCAGTAGATGTTTATCATATCGATCGCTTATTTTATTTACATGAGGCGCAATAACAAAGATATGAGAATTTCAATTGATATTACAGAACCTTACGATTAAAAAATAACCAATATTAAAACAATTTTATTAAATAATTGTTCAAAAACTGACAGCAACGTTTAAACTCTGGAATTAACTTGAAAAGTCTCATTATTTTAAAATGGATACAGAAAAAAACTCCACAGTAACTGCGCTAAATAATTTGAACCTCGTTTTGGAACGATCATTAAAAAGTTTGCCAATCCTCTACTCGGAATTAATTTATAAATAATAAGTTATTGAATAAAAAAACGTTAGACATGGAGATCGCTTTAAGGAAATTGAAACACGACACACTAACTCACCTTCTTCCAGGGCGGCGCGCAGGCAACTGGTGCAGCAGCCAGCAGGTCGAGTGTCAGCCATGGCTGCTCCGCCAGCCTACCTACTTGATGGAGTTGCTTGCACCTTGCAGGCTACCGGCAACCAGCACATCAGCTCAACATCACTCAAAAGCGAGAGCATTATTTCTCAGTGTGACCGAAAATTAGGTAGCTAAATCTTTGATAGTATTCACTCAAAAAATCATTGTTTGCAAACGAGGCGCGAGTACAGGGATACCGCACTTCAAGAACATAAACATTGACGAAGAATCGTAAAAAAATAAATAGGAAATTAACGTAACCTCGATTGCGCCGCAATACATCTCGACGTTCGCGCGTAGGCTGGGGCACTCGTCTCATTTGGGCGGTTGATTATATCGCGCTGTGAGATCGAGCAAGTAACTTCAAGAAAAACTTCGTTCGTTAAATTAACGTTTTAAGGTGAACTTAGGAGCAAAGTTGTAGGGGCAACATGTCAAGTACAACGTCCTCTCATTTGTCTGGACTGTTGATCAATTGAGCATCGTATACAAAGGAATTCGCACTAATGTAGCAAATGAAAGTCCATTCGTAACACATATCAATATAATATTGACCACATTGTAGACAAACAAGCTCAGTAACTCATGACAAGCAGCGGGCGGTGGGCAGGAGGAGGCGGGTCTCCCACGCTGCACACATGACAACTGCGATGGCTGCAACTATCCTCCAAGCAGCGATGATACAAACAAATAATATGGGCTCATCAATAGAATCCTTTAATTTACGTTATCAGCGAGCACACAATGATCAGTCAAACCATATCAATAACTTGCAGCAGTTGTCGATATTGGAGTCTTTAGCTATTAATTTCTTGCAAGTTTTGCTTGAATTTAAACCTCAAGTCCACGATGTATGTGAAGTCTATTTACTGAAACATTTAAAAAAATATGATATCAACTAAAAATGAAGACTTACATTTAGAAACTGGCCTTATATTAAGTACAATCATGTAAGAACAGGTCGATTTGAGAACGGCCACAGCAGCACAAGTTTGGTTGTAACGACGAAACGAACAAATATACTCCATTTCTACATGTAACACACCAACAATTCGGGTGCAATGAAATATCCTTAATAAACACACATAAAAAAGACACATCCTTTAACATCGAAAAATAATTTGTGCTATAACGCTATGATATCTTTCGTAGTTCAAACTACAAGATTCAGGACCCGGTAGGTCAGCAAGCAATGGAACTACAATGAACACATAACATACACGCAGGTTCAAAATTCAATAGATTGAATGAAATGCCCATCGTAAAAAATCCGGCGGACGCGTGCAAATCTGATATAGTAAATCCTGGACAATATTCACCACAGCCACGCAACTGGTTGCGGTACAAAAAATAATAAAACATCCTTTGTTGAGTGCACAGAATCTGAAGGGCGGCACAAACACGCGGAGAATACGTTACTTGCGAGTTGCAGGGTAGCACGAGGACCGGTCTAGCAACATGATGATCAGAATAGAAAGTTATCAGAACACTTAAGTGGCGTTGGGGTTAAAGAATTTGTTCGAAATTCGACTCGCGTTCAGCTGGATCTTCCTTTTGAAGGCATTTACTGCGGAAAGAGTCGCGAGAGAGACTCTCGAGAGTTGTGTCGCTGCTCGACGTGTCGCTTGAGGTGGCTTTTCTGGTTGGTTCCATAAGGACACAAGTGGCATCTATACGGCTTCTCGCCGCTATGTATCATGTAGTGAATCTTGAACTCGGACTTGAATCCAAACCTACGTGGACATCCTGGGCACTGGTAAAGTCGCTCTTCAGTAACTAAAGCTACGAGGTCAAGTTCTTCAAACGGAAGAAAGGGGCCAAAATAAGTCGGCTGGACACGGTTGCGGACTCCGTGGGCAGCGTGAGATAAGCCCATAAAACCAGAAAACAAGCAAGAAAAATCCGTCTGATGGTCGCTGCTGGCTGTAGGTTTGGAGCGAAACATCGTCCCGAAATGTTGTCCCACATCGTTTATACTGTCACGGTCCGCGGCCAGAAAGTTAGTCGTGCATAAAGAAGCTGATGATGCGTTTGCATCAGAAGAAACAAAACTGTGACAGGACGATGCCATCTGGCCCATGTTTAAGTTATCTTTTGCGTGGTGGCCGCTGTGTACAGGGGAGGCGAGGCGCTGCTTGTTGGGGCTGATGTCGAGAGATGCGTCCTATGAGGAGGAAAAAAGTTAGACAGGTTTGAACGGAGGTATCATGAGAAAAGAAAATGATCAAGCGCACTTACTTAGACCGGTGGTGGGGTTTGATTCACCATTGATTCGTTCAACAAGAAAAAATGCATTGATCGACCCCATCATATATATATACGTGTGAGAATGACGTACAGCTTACTCCGCTTAGAAACTCCACCGCTTATTAGAAATGGTCGCTTGTTATAGCAAAGCTAGATAATTCGTTAGTTTTATAATATCAGTGAAAAGGAACTTCCGCTTCGAAGGCCAGCCACAACTTGGTCCCATACATAGGTATCTTTTGAGTAAAGTTTATCGAGTAGAAAGAGTCAACTAAGATGTAGAGGTAACAATATTCAAGTATGCAGATGAACGTAACAATATAGGAGATAATGCGTAATGCGAGATCGCACTGAAAATATCGTCAAAACATCTGTGAATGTAATTACAAAGTACCCTAAATTCTACAAATAAAATAAATTTTAAAGTGATAGGTAATTAATCAAGCGGTTAGTTATTTCCTTTAGGATGGTAAAATAACGTTCGATTTCTCAGTACAATGCCTTCCTGTTCATATCAACAAAAGAACAGCCAGCAATAAATTATCTAGCTCTACAAAAGGACTGAGGCGATGAATAAAAATTTTATACAAATTATTTGAAGATACATCGAAAATCCCATTCGCATACATGCTTCTCCACAATGCACTGCACTGTGCGCCGTTCACAAAGAAAGTATCGAAATTCATTAAGGCTTATCAATTCGATGGCCAAATGGAACACAAATGATTGACGTGACTCGTCTATCAATTAGATGAGAGTGGACATGGACTTAACTCACAATATAAGTTTCTTTTTAAGAAAGCAAACCTATTATACAAGATGCCGCACGTGTTCACAAAGAAAAGTTTCCTTACTCGTGCTTGGAAACGATGTGGAGCTTGAGGTTGTTCTTCTGGTTGCAGCGGAAGTCGCACAAGGAACAAGTGAAAGGTTTCTCTCCAGTGTGGATGAGGTAATGGCGCTTGAGTTTGTATTTTTGGATGAAGCTTTTTGAGCATACAGGACACACATAAATTCCGTCAGTGGTGAAACACTCTGAGAAATTAACGGTAGAATATGGGGGAGCCGTTGCGGCAAAACTCGCAGACATTCGAGAGTCACCTCGAGCATAAGATATCAGCGACGACGTGTCTGCAAGAGACGACATGAGGGTGGCGGCGTCTTGAGGAGGTAACAGCTGAGATGAAGTACCGCACAGAGATCCTGATGTACCATAACGAGACCGAGGTGCACCGGGTGATGTTTGTGATGGACCATACAAAGATCGGGACACCCCGTCGATGACATTGTCAAGTAAGCTCGACGTGTCATCCAGGGACCGTGTAGTACCTTCACTGGTTCGTGCAGCACCGGTATGAAAGGAGCTTTTTCGGGTGGGTGTCCATGAAGAGTCGTGCAAGATTCCACTTTCCATGTTTCCGTACCGCGATCGACTCGAGGCCAACTGTCCAGTTATCCAGGAAGGCTCCAGCGGCCGTGTAACCTAAGAATAATCACAAGCTCGTTATGATCTTAAGCATTAAAACGCAACTGATAATTAATAAACAGATCCGTCTTCCGTGCAACATAATCATTATCGTAAACTGTAATCGGCAACAGCACAATTAATTGACTTTTAGCACCGTTTTAGCAGGAATTGGTGCTTTCCTCATAGTAAGCGAGCAAGAAACGGAAGACACAAACTGCAACACTGCAGAGAATACGCCCTTATCATAGCCGTGTTGCATGGTGGTAATGATAGGCCATTTCTCGTCATGATGGGCGAGGTAAAATAAAACAGGATTTGCATTCTACACAATCCACATCCATCTATGCACCATAGAATTTCTACGGAGTGCCTAACAACAAAACATTACATTCAACATCAATACTGAAAACTGATTGGCCGATTCGAATGATTCAGTTTCCGTCGCCTAACAGTCTTCAGGATAAATTCGTGTTTGGAAACACTCGAGTCAAGCTCTCAGATCACCAGCGCTTACGTCCGGAAGAAAAGTGACATCACTGAGGACATCTTGGACATAAAAAAAAAGAGTTTGTAACTCTGTAAGTCAATCATTGACGTATTTTCATTCTAAAACCACCAATCACAGACGAGAAATCAGCGGCTAAGCATACTAAGTGCACCAAGTGTACTTGATCAAGTTTCGATCTACGGCCCCAAGACAACAGATACTTTACAATTAATCCCCACTATCGAATTTATGAGCACAGATTGTTCAATACTCTAACTACGAAGATTGTAATCCAGCTTATGTCGACAGAGGAGGTGCATCTTGAGGTTGGTCTTCTGGTTACACTTGAAGGAGCAGTGAGGGCAAGTAAAGGGCTTCTCGCCTGTGTGTATGAGGTAGTGGCGTTTCAGCTTAGACTTTTCAACGAACGGTTTGGCGCACACTGGACAAATGTACTCGCCGTGAGCTGTAATGCACTCTGTGAAATTAATTGAAGAGTAAGGTGCACAAGCAGAAGACGATGCAGGTAAATGGCTTCCGGTGTCGGCCATGTGCCGAGATGACGAAGGTTCGTTGGTAGAACTTGTTCGTACGGAGGTGTTGAAGACGTTCAAATCGGAGGCATAAGTCCCGGTGGAAAGACCCCCCGACGAAGGCGTTTGTTTGCAAGTTACTCGTCCTGCGAGCAACATGTTATCCGACGAAATATCCGAAAAGTAAGCAATGTCATCATCGGCTCCACACCCCCGGACGGCAACTCGACGACCAGCACACGAGGTCTCGGGTGTCGTGGACACCTACAGGGATAAGTTATAGCCGGTTATTGCTCTCGTTTTCTCAACAAAATAAGAAACTAGCGGAATTTCTTCAGAACTTTTATTTCCATACACACACACAGACGTTACAATAAATGGATTTAGTCATGATACAGTTAGCATGTAGTTGCAAATTTCACTCGAAAACCGAACAACAACCTAATTTAGACCAATAAATACAGTTCAATAATTTCAAATAAAAGAAGTTTCCATTGAGGAAAAATCACTAAATCGCACAAGAAACTTTCAATATGTTTGTGTGGGGTTTAAATTTACAGTACTAATAGAATTCGCAAAAAATATGGGTGGTTACACAAAGAAATTACTTTCTGAACAAGTCGATTCAATGGGCTACATCGCGACAAGTTTGTATAAGTCGCATAGATGCATACAACGCTTAATTTTATTACAGATAACAATGCGTTATAAATATTCATCACGGATGAGCATGTACTTGCAAGCAATACGCTGAGGGGTTTACACTGTCATGTAGCTTTCGTGAAGTAATATAAACATGCAGGAATAAATACATCGTCTTGGCCAACTAAGTTTTGATATCTGCAGAGTTTTGATCAGAGTAAAAAATTCATGGACACACAGACACACTTCAAGACATTTGTACTAAATACATCAAGAAATATTAAGATTTAAACAACCAAGATCTCCCGTTCAAATCCTCCTATGATTTTCAAGCTACAGCATTGAGATATACCTTTCGATTCGTAAGAAACATCTTTAAAGATCATCCGGTCGTAGCTTGAAAATACTAGAGGGACATTTTTACAGGACCCTTTTTTTGCCGTTTTCTATTGATTTCATGTTTTCTTTATTTTTTTTTGAAAAATTTACATAAACATAGAAGTTATTGATTTCTATTTTACATATATGTAAGAAAGTTTCACAATGATCCGTCCGTAAATAAAAAAAGTTTCTTTTTGACCGACATGGTCACCTTAAATAAAAAAAATATATATACAAGGCTGAGCTTTCACCTCTTGAAGTTTTGCAAGCTAAGCCGTCACAGAACAGTCAGTCATCGACAAACTACAAATGCTAGCATTTTTCAAGGGTGAAAGGCACTAAATTTCAATGTTCAAACACTTCAAATAAAACTTCCCAAATCAAACTTCAATGTTCTTACGGATCTTAACGAAGACACAAAAAAAACACAACTACGTTACGCAAAATGAAGTAAACACAACAAGTTTCGAGTCTTCAACGTCATGAAGTCACCACAGAGTGGCAGGAGTGAAGCAAGCACGTCTATTGGATTACAATGACACGTCCTTATACATGTAAAATAAAAGTAAGAATACAAGCCTGACGTAGTACAACAATGAAGGCGTTTACCATAGTAGAAATCAGTCTTATAATATTGAGTGCTTCCCAGCATTCAGATTTTTAGGTTCCAGATGGCATCAGACAGTGACTGTTATAATGTTATTTCTACGAGGAAACAGTGAACAAGAAAATGACAGGGATGTGACGAAGTAGATAATAACAGCACAATGATACTAGATTTCAAAGCAGTTTGCGGACGAAATTAAAAAGTAACCCGAAGCTTGCAAAAAATGTAAAATTTGTAACCCGTATAAGCTCAGTAAATAGTCGTATATATGAACAATTCTCGTGCTGAAGTCATTTCTTCCACTCACTACATTTGGAAGTGCACATACATTTTTCTACACGGAATCTTTATCTCTATCACTAACATGACATCTACAGGACAATATTTGCATCTAAAAGTTTTGAAACGTAGATAAATTGTTTACTTTTGATACCTTATAGAAGTCAACGGAGTGAAATTTCGAGCGGAGGATTACATAAGAGATAGAACGCAAAACAAGCCGGCGTTTAGAGATTTGAACAAATACGATATTGCATCAACTGAACAGCGTTAGAAGTTCCGATGGAATGTTTCACTTGAGGGTAGTTCACTACTATGCTTGTTGCGCATGTGCATTTTGACGTTAATTTTCTGATTGGACCTATAATTACAGATGAGACACTTGAAAGGCTTCTCGCCAGTGTGTATCATATAGTGACGTCTGAAGGAATAACGGTCTGGACATATGGCGGCACACACAGGGCACTGGTAGCAGCCGTTGGGCAGTACAACTTTTTCCGTATCGAGAAGGTCGTAAGGAGTGATGTTGGCCGGAGCGGTAGCCGCAGAACCAGAAGAAGTCGAGGCTCGAGATGCTGCGGGATTTAGGGTAGTTTTGGACGACAAACCACTTCTGGAGTCGTGTGCGTTGCGCGACGAGGTTGCACTATGCCGAAAACCTGCAAGAGGTGCAGCGGAAGGCCTTTGCTGCCCAGAGCTTGAGGCCGCCGTCTCTTCTTCCAGAAAAGAAGGGAAAGACTCGAGATGGTAAAGTGGCAGGGGGATGCTTGCAGACGACGAAATGCCTCCCACCTACAGAGAAGAACATGCAGCTCTTAATTCACTCGTGCCTCAGTTAACATAATTGTACAAATACTACATGAATATAAGGAATTAATTATCCGAAACCATGGGACGCGTGCTAAAAAAGTGTCGACACACATGATGGAGAATCATACCACTGGAGGTCACCCCTAAGCTTTCCATCTCGTGTACAATTGCTACGTAAATGCTACCGGTACTATACATAGTGCACGAAATGACGCCTTCTTCGATTATTGGAACGCAATGAATAGAATTTACTCTCTCACTACAGATGGCGACGAGAAAAAAAAGCTTGTGTCTATTTTAGCGTCATCTATGGTTCTTTCTATTCTAATAATTTCTCACCGGTTGTCATGGCGCTCGTTTCTCACGCCTGTTTCATGACAATCACCTTAACATTGTTGAGGTAATTTGCAAACAACAATATTATTAATATGTAGGATGCGAGCACCAGGCATGGCGTTGCCAACAATACACAGCCAGGCTACTCAGCGTCGGTTTGTGTGCAGGTCGTCGTTGGTGTTACGCATCCTGCTGATCGACAAGGTCTGGAGTGTCAGCTCCTGCATCGGCTGTCTACAGGCAAGGATGCAAGTCGTACTCTCACATATTGTTGGTGCTGCCTTAATCAGTCGTGTCGATAGATACCTATATTTTGCTGTCCGTCATTTTATTCCTTTATTTTAGTTGAATTTGAACAAGAATGTTTTGTGTAAAGAAGTCTTCCAGTTTTAAAGCCATTAAATGGTGCGCGAGAGCGGACTGGACAAATGCCTCCAGTCAATGACTTGGTAAGTTGGCACTTGGCAGCTCGGCCGCCTCAGTTACTTTATTTTGTAGACGGCCTCTAACGCTGGAGCATCAAACACTTAATTTCATGGCGAAGTCAGTTTTTGGGTATCGAACATTGTAGGCAATATTCTACGTCTATTTTAATTAAGGAGCCCAAGCACTGAGGCTTAAGGAACTGTTGAAAAGACAAAGCTTGGTAAGTTGCGATCAAGCAAACGAAACCAGCTAACACACATGGCTATGAAGCAGGGAACTGTCCAACATCACATTCAGCTTCTTTCAGCAACAACAAAATGCACGCGCAAAACGACCATTATTCCTGACCCTGAAGCTTAACATTGATGTGAATTAGGAAGAAGTTGGTGGCTTGGGGTGCACTGTAACTTCGTGTGCTCTGAGGTTGCTGGGGTTGGAGGAGCGGTAGGGGCACTGCGAGCATGCGAAGGGCTTCTCGCCGGTGTGGATGCGAACGTGCTTCTTCATGTCGCTTGTTCGCCACGTTGTGTACGTGCAGTGAAGACAATGGATTGTTTTTGCCTTCGCTCCGCTCGCTTGCGATGAAGAAGATTTACTAGGAGATGTGAAGAAGCCGCTACCAAACAACGGGTACGGGTAGGCATCGCGAGGACCTTGCGAATCGGAGCCTAGCGCTGCCGGTGGAAAAGTGAAGGATTTTTGATGGTCAGGAGCGATATCGACATGTGGGTAGCAGGCCGACCAGATGGCTTCGTTGGGGGGAAGAGCGTCAGTTCTTTCGGTGGCAGATAAGGCTGGCTTGGCAGGTCTCGGTGGCGGCGGAGCAGGAGAGTTGCTTGAGATCTTCATCTGCGGGAAGGGTTCGCTTCAGTGCCAAACTCATTTTATGACGTAAAATCAACTTCACAGTCATTACAATAATGAAACTTGAGATTGAAATTCTTAACAACTAAGAGAGCCCACTTCTACTGATGCTACAGCAACGACGCCTGTCATAAAAACAATAGCATTTCCAACCCTCAAGTTTAGATGACACTTCGCGCGAAAAATATCACAATGACTCGCCACGTCGAGCAAAATACTCAAGTGCCTTGCCTTAAGACGTCACAAGTACTCCGCCCCAAAGGACGAGGCGTTGCTATTTAGCAAACTAGTGAACTAGTGATCCCCTAGACGCATGAAATCTCTACTAAGGCAGACAGAGATCTAGAGAAGGGCTAATTTTTACGTACATTGAGCTTCAGGTGGCGGAAAACAGGCCTTATGGTTCGGTTCTGTACAATTATACCTCAAAATCTAAAATGCCATAACATTTCAAGTCGCATTATTTATTGGACCAGTTTCTGGGTAAATACTGTGCTGACACAGCAAGCTATGAACGCCTTTGAACGCTATGCAATCTCAGTAATAATATGAGGACATCTTATGATTACATTCTAAAATGATATCGCAAAGAACTGTACTGCCGCATTTCCACCTTGATGAATGCTCGGCTCAACACTTAACTAGCGAAACACGTTGCGATTTACCCATGGGCTCCATATCCCTTAATTAACTAGTGGCAAACATTGAATCGCAGAAAAAATGAACAACTAGATTTTTCAAGCATAGGATCAAGGAAACCGAATGTGACAAGGACGCAAGGGATTTTTTTATCAAATTTAAATGCTAATTAGAATCCTTGGTCCACTCTCGACAATTTCATTTGGGAATAAAATAATTATATAATCTTTAATTCATAATAATAATTAATAATTTTACATTGATTTTAATAGACTAATGACATTTGTGATGCTGCCTTCAAAATTTCACTCGGTTACTCTCACAATTTGCTTTGGTCAATAAGGTGTCATTTCTACAATCTAGTTTCGTGTTCATAGAAGACCAAACTCAACAAATGCACTGAACTTGCTTTGAACGTACTGTACACAAAACATCCAACGACAACATCCTGTTAAAGTACGGAACAATCAGTGGATTATGCTAGCAGTTTCCGCGCAGCGCTTACGTAAGACGTTACCCAACACATCACTCAAGCAAGAGTGCAAGACAACATCCAACATCGCCCGAGCAAGACAGCTTCCTGGTGCCATCATTACCATATCACAGAATGTCGAGATCACACACAATATGAGTGTTAAGTGTGGACTTGACACACAGCTGGCATTACTATACCTGCTATCGCTCAGTAAACTAAATGGCCATACAGTCAAAATAGTAATTCTTTTGCACGTAGCACTGATACATCCTATCGCCAGGCCAAACTGGGCCACGATGACCCATACAAGGCTATAGGTGCATCACTACCTATATACTGTAGGTACATGTAGGATTTATAATCAAATCCTTCAAAAATATCTATATATATATATATATATCCTCTACATCTACAACATCATCAGATTTACAAGAACTCCACAGAAATAATATGCAACCAATACAAAATATACTGTCGTATCTTATTAGAAAATCTATACGGTATTACTTGTTAGAGAACCCATCTGAGACCTTTGGAATCAACCCCAAAAGTTCTGTGAGTGTAAATCCACAAAAAGCGTGCACCTAACGACACAATAGCCAAGCATGGCTGGAGCAGTTAACTTCACTTCATTTATCATCACTTAAAACTTCAATTAGCATCACAGAATTAAGTTGAAATTTTGACAAGTTCTATAGTTTGATTGTAAAAGTTTCTGAACCAGACGTGGAGCAGAGGATGATTTAGCAACATGTAGGTAACCTGCTACCTGGGCATCATTCCCAGAACAATGCTTGGAGGGCTTACTTAAACTCACATAATGAGAGGCAATTCAAGGCATCAAAATACCAGTATATGTTATTATTTGAATGTAATACTTTCATGTGCTGCTTGAAAGCCTCTTTATCAAGGCCAGTGCACTTAATTGCTGCAGTACTTACTGTACTGTACATAGTCAAGATATGCACTACAGCACCACCCTAACATCTATCGACAAGTACGTATGCAAGGGATTTCTAATCAAATTTAAATGCTAATTAGCATCCTTGGTCCACTCTCAACAATTTTATTTGGGAATAAAATAATTGCATCAATTTTAATTCATACCATAAATTTGTTAGAAATTCCTTATCATAATATTAACAACCTTAGATGAATGACAGCAGCGTACTAATGCTTCAATTCTTGGGAAAGTAGGAGGTAACTATTTTGAAAAATTTCAGGTTGGAAATTTATTAAAAAAGTTGTTAAAAAGTATTCATTTTTTATTCAAAACAAAATTAATTTTTTTGACTAATTCAATATTTTCATTTTCTAAAAAAGAAAAGCAAATTGTGAGAGTGGACAAGGGCATGGCCATGACGTAGCTACTCACCACGGAGCCAGGCAGGTCTCCCGAGGCGGTGCTGTCCTCTACACAGTCAAAGTCCTGAACAAATAACATTATAAACAATAACATATATCAATACTTTATCACTAGAAACTTCAATATTCAATTTGAAGGTATGCTAATAAAAAGTATCATAAATAAAATTTTTTGACCCTATAGGTCTCAAATCCAGTGTAGTGTCAGTGTATCACTTCTACAAGAACAATGTAAACAAGATAAATGTTTTTTGATGTATGAAAATTTGTAAAATGTTTGCCTAAATTTGGCGGTAATTCAGAAAAAAAGGCTCAAGCTACGAGCAGATATTTAGAACCTTACAGTAATTTATCACAAGGATTAATTAAAATTCATTTACTATATAACACATACAACTTTACTATATAACACATACAACTTTACTATATAACACATACGTACAACTTTACTATATAACACATACGTACAACTTTACTATATAACACATACGTACAACTTTACTATATAACACATACAACTTTACTACATAACACATATGTACAACTTTACTATATAACACATACATACAACTTTACTATATAACACATACGTACAACTTTACTATATAACACATACAACTTTACTATATAACACATACGTACAACTTTACTATATAACACATACAACTTTACTATATAACACGTACAATTAATTAAACAAACCTCCTTCAGTGAATCAGGTGCAGAGTCCTGGCCAAGCAGCTGCTCCATCAACTGCAGCTGAGAACTTTCTTGTCCAGATGCTTCATCTGACTGCAGCATCTGATGCTCATCTGTTCAAATCAATACAAGCTGCAAATCACTTCCATTTATCATTTGAAATAATTAGAAGAAATTTAGGCCAGTCTTCATCTAAATTAGACTACAAGTCTAACAGTCCATGTGCATTTCCATGCACATAGACTAAAAAATGTAACTCGGTACTCACTGTAGTGAGTGACAGAGAGCACATTTTCACATTGACAAAAACGTGAAGTCACGGACAGACAGACAGACAGACAGACAGATGGACAGACAGAGAGACAGCCATGGCAAGCACAATAGTGCCTTTTTTCCATGAACGAGAAAATGCGATAAAAAGTGATGATTAATTCAAATTAGTTACATGAATATACTTCTCCAACTACTGCTGCTAATGATATCCCAATTAAAGATTAGTAGGCAGTAAAGTTGAGAAAAAGCATGTGCAGCCAATTTATCTGCAGAAGGGTGTTACTTATGGCACATTAAACATTTTATGCAAAATGTTTCATGATTGTGTGGAGTACCGTACTGCAAGCAATAAACCCAAGGATATCAATCATAAGTACTATCTCTTCAAAAGTTAATACATGCATAACATCTTCTTTTCAGTCCACAAAAAACCCAAGTGAACAAAGTGAGCTTAATGCTTTTGCAAAGAGAAACATCATTTTTATTTTATTCGAGCAGAAATTGTGACAAGTCAATAACAGATGGGAGAAATAGGGCACCACTCACCATTAGAATTTGAGTCAGAAAGGTAAACTGGTTCTTCCTTGATTGCTGCCTCAGGCAATTGCTGAAAAAAAAAATTAATAACATGCAAATTAATGACTCATTAGTTTGGGTTGCATTATTATTATTATTTAGGGATAACTGCATTCACAAATCAGAGTGATTATCTTAAAACATGATGAGTTAGGCTCCTACTTGTTCACACAGATGCACAATGGGTTCAATTGTCCAATGTTATTTGAAGAATGTAGAATTCATATAACATCATATATAGGAACACAACAGGGATAATTCACAGCTTTACCTTGCAATATGATACTTTTTCCCTTAAAAAAAAAAAACAGAATATAAAGAAATTTTTAATTAAATGTAGACAAGAATAATACATACAATAACAAATGGAAATACAATAGGTTAAATGAATGAGTAAATTTGTTATCATAAGAGTAACTAAAATAAAATGAAACACACCTCTTCCACAAGAGCGTCCTCCAGATCATTTTCTTCTTTCATACTGGAACAATGTGGTTCACCAGCCGGTGAGCAAGACAGAGGATCTCTTCCATTGATGGCACTGTTTGTGCTTCCACCGGCACTAAACGCTTCAAAATTCCTTTGTTGGTTCCTGTGACCAATTTTATTCCTGTTATGGGTAGGAGAAGTTGCATTATTTCTATCATCCTGATCCTTACTGGGAGTAGACTGTCGACTGGATGTGAGGCTAGTTCTTGGACTCCTTTCATTCAAGGCTTCTTGCTTTCTCTTCTTAGCCTCGGAGGTATGCGAGTCATCTCTGACTCTTTTCTCTCCAATGTTTTTGTTGGATTTATTTGGAGGCGGTGCTTCATCTGGCACAGCCAAACCCTTAATTTGCAGACACTCTGCAGCTTTAATCAAACCAGACAACTTTTCCTGAGGAACATTTACTTCTCCAATGTACATGTAATTCAGGAGGCATTCTAGTTCATGCCTCTTGATGTCTTTTAAAATGATCACTGGATGCTGGCCTTGAGTTTGAGCAAAGATGTCTTCAAAATACTTGCTGCACATTGAAAGCACAATTTTGTGCACTGGGTAGAGTAGTCCATCACAAGCCAGAGTAGTGTCCGTGTATGACTTCTGCAAAGGAAATGTGCACATGAGATGAAATAAATGATGCCCATTTAAGGCATTTACAGTGTGAAAAAAGCATGAGGTAACATTACCACACATTCATCAATTATTAGAGTATTTGCATCATCAGATAATCCTATAATGCACCAATTGGATAATATAATATCCTATATAATGTCCAATTGGATAATATGTAAGTATCCTATGACATTTGCCATATCCTCAAGAATCCTATAAGGTTTTTGCTTCATAATATAAAGTATCCAATAATAAACACATTAGAAAGTTTTAAAAATATAAATTTATTAATGTTTTCAAGTTTGCAAAACAATTTGCTTTTCTGCAGAATAAATGTTATTAACATAGAATTTAAAAACTATTATATTTAGTCGTGCTGAGCCGATGAAGTAATAGCCACTGAAGTAAGTGAAGATCTTTCAACACTCTCGCATTTGTATGTTTACTGTGACAATCAAAGATAATCAAAGACTGATTGTCAAAGATGAATTTTGACTGAAATGTTAATCATGAGAGGTTATATTACAAATGATTTAAATCAATAGCAAATTTCTAATAGAAGTTCCCTGATTTGGATTGATATTCTATAGATGACTTAGTCTCATTTCATCATTTGAATTTCAAGAGAATTGCATTCACATACAGCAATCCCTTGATTAGCACGGTTTTGAATACCGCGGTTTTGATTAACGCAGAAAAAAAATTTGCGACCTACCCTTGATCTACGCGGTGCCAGTTTTGATTAGCGCGACTTTTTTTTCACAATGCATCATTTTCCCGCCTCTAGCCAGAGGTGTTACGTTAGTGCTTATTAGATCTTATGTTGTGCTTCTGTTATGACTTTTGGAAAAATTCGCCAAATGTTGTTACTTTATGAATTTCAGCCAATAATTCTTTAAATAAGGTCCCGTTCAGTAGGCACTCATGCTGACTACGGAGTCGGTTTAACCGCACCTTGTCTCGTTCATAACTCGAATGATCGAGTTCGGCAACATTCGCCGGTAAGTGCGCCATGCCGGTGCTCTAGCCCTTTAAGCCCTGGTGTGACGAATTCGTCACACAGAAAATAAATGCTCACTTTTATCGAACTACATAATTTTCCTTTCCTTTGATATTTTTGAGGATTCATTATAATTATTCCCATATATTTTTAAGTTTGATTAGCGCGGTTTTGCTTAACACGGTAAAACTCGGGGATTTATTAACCGCGTTAATCAAGGGATTGCTGTATCATAATATTGATTTGATTCAATGTCACATAAATTATTGAGTATTGTGACATTAATTAATGTCACATTTTACATCTTCAATGCATACTGTAGCATTTGTATGACTGCATCAAAAGGCAGTTGTTAGGTGCCCAAACATATCTGCAAATCTGTACTTTCATAGAGCCATTTTATGGTCATGGCAGATACATTTTGCTAATCTATCAAACAGTTTCAAGCTGATAATAAGAAACCAGTTTTCCCCATGATGTTCTGGTGTTACACATCAATTAAAAAGAAGGGGCATGTTTAAACTAGGATAGTAGTTTCATAAGATGTTTCAATATTTTTTACTTGATTGATATTATTAAATTTTATTGCTATACTTACACAGCATATACTAAATTTAAATAGGAAAACATATTTAATAACTGCCAATAAAAAGCAATGCAAAATAGAAAAGACATTGAATAAATTTTATAAATTCATAGTCATTCCAGTTATTGTGAGAGCAACCCATTTGCAATCGTTATGCAGGGAAGTTAGAGTTTCCTGATAAGAGGCCATTACAAACAATCAATTATAAAAGGCTAAAGGACTCCTGCAAGTTATTGTCTTCGTTATCCCAACAAGATATAATCTTGACATCTGCTATATACACCAGAACTTTGCAGCTTGAATGCTGTAAAAGCATAATGCACAAAAGATTTTCAAAGTAACATGTTTTCTTAATAATACCTATATTATTAGATTATGGAATTGATGACTTTAATGACTAATAAATGAAAAATCTGTTTTGAAGTTATGGAAGATTACTTAAATATTGGTGAAGTGCATAGCTTAGGCTAATTATGTTTTATATTAATTCATGACTTTAACTGACAGGGATGTCAGGTCAGCTTGGTCCTTTATCAGAAATGTGCAAATGTTAATTAACTTGAATTAGATATAGTGATACAGCCTGGTATCCATGATACTTTGCTGGTCTACTTATAGGACTTAAAATTGAATGTGAAGGAGAGTCTAAAAAACTCTCTGCTTTGCCACTATGTATTTTTCCATCTGGCCTACTGGAAACCTTACTGTGTGCGCTTGTGGTCTTTCATATTTGCAATAATTTTGAAGTAATTCCCAAAATGCAATATTTTCAATTCAAATGTGTTGGCAAGATCTTCAAAAGGCGTAAATATTACTGCTGATGCTTTGCCAAATATCTTTCGATATTCACCCACTTTCTGCACCCTGGTTTGTGAAGTGCAAACCACAATTTTTTTTCCATCAAACAAAATACATGAAAGTAGAGCTGAGAGATTTCATACCTAATGAAATTATATGATGTTAGAGCCGCAATATTTAAAAAAGTAGGACTTTTTCCAACCTCTTTCTATCTTAACAAAAATTTTTGGACCAAAAAACTAGCCATGGTTGATTAAAAATGATACATCAACCATTAACCATGGTTTTTTCCAAAAAATATAACTCAGTACTCACTGCAATGAGTGACAGAGAGCGCATTTTCTTGTCGACAAAAACTTGATGTCACAGACGGACGGACGTGGCACAATAGTGCATTTTTTCCATAAATAAGAAAATGCGCTAAAAAGAGCACAAAATTTGCACATTTTAAAGACAAAAGGTAATAAAGGAAAAGTTTCACAGCTTTTTTACTTTTAATTGTATTCCACTCCACTGACATGTATATTGATATGTCTACTTTTTTTTCACCTGTAGAATTTTCATTAACACATTAGGGTAAACACACCATATTCCGACACCTTAAAGACGTAGCAAGAAATAAATGGCTATAAATAGATCACCGTATGCGCAACTCGAGTTCTGATTGGTTTACGTCACTCTCAAACACCACACTATGCACCAGTAATGATGAAATGTCAAAAACTGTTGCCATATTTATTTAAAAGATTTTAGAATTCAAGTCTACAAAATTGCTGAATTCTGACACGTGTGTGACTAAATGCGGTATTGTGATACTAATTCCGACAGTGCTTCAAATTCTTAATTCATAATTCCAAAGCGCTGTGTTGGAATTCTGATACCCTGTGTGTGTCTAATTCCTAGCTGTGTCATAATTAGTTTTTGTGTCTAAAACCGTCTCTCAACTTAATTATCTATTAATTTATTTACCACTTAATATCAGCAAATACAAGTATACTTAAAGGATTCCTAATATATCCACAAACTAATCTAAAAGTCTCAAACCATAAAATTCTTTCTACACAGTTTATCACTATTTGGTAGAGCAAGGTCAACTATCAACTTTAACACGTCTTTCAATGTTCTCACTGGGTGATGTGGATTTTTGCTCTGAGAATCTCAACATTTTCCAGCCAGACTTAGTGTATTGAGGGAATATTGCGTGATTAGAATGACGGTTCCGTTAAGTTGGATCTTTTCTTTTAGTCGCGATGTAGCGATTGCAACCAAAGCTATGCTTATCGATATAGGAGGTTGTGACGATAAGTATTTATATTGATTTCAATACAACCGCTAATTTCGACACCTATTTTAAACTCCTCAATCGCATGAATGAACTTTTCTCTTGATAGAGTTTTTATGTACTATTTACTGTCAGGTTGGTATTTTCTGTACATTGTCCGAGTGGTCAATAGGTCGCGATGGAAGGTTCTCTATACTGGCAGCTAAGACTTGACAAGGAGAATGACACACACATTTATCTCCGACCTCGTATACTAAAGAAGATACCCTACGCCTAGTTACAGAGCCAGGAATGATGACAATAACGAGAGTACAGGCTTACTTGCAGAAGAAAAATCTCATCCTACACCAATCTGGGCCGGAGACAACAGAGTTAGACAACTACTACAGGCTCCGAATAACTAATTGAGACTAATTCAGCGAGGCTAAATTAAAGTGGCTACAATGCACGCTAACAATTTAATCTACACAGTGGTACATCACTGGGCTTGTTTGAGACGATCTAGTCCAAGGCAAAGCTGCATGGTCTGGCTGTCGTCGTGAGTTGCAGTAACGTTCCCGGAGTCGGGGATGCTCCGTGAAGCCTCCTTCGCGATCGTGACTTCGGCAGTCGTCGAAAACACGAGGGTGAAATCAGTTGCCCGGTGCAGGACTAGGACATGAGTCTCCTCATGGTCGGGTAGTTCTTCTCTCAGGTTCTCTGTAGTTCTTCGATATCAGCTTCAGATAATTAGCTCAGCAGCAGTCTGTCGTGGCTCCTGTGCTCGGTGGTGTCGAATCCGTCGTTTAGTTTTCTTCTCGCGGCAGTACGAACGTGAAACAGTGGCAATTGGTCGTGGTGACATAGAAAGAAAACTCGATGCCGGATTAAGCTTACTTGTGAAAGTTGACCTCGGTGACAATTAATGGCAATCCTATACAAGGCTCACGGTGTTTGTCTTGGTTTTCAGTTATCTCCTTCGTCGGTTAATTGCAACCACTTTCCACTGGCGCCAACGATACGCCCGACTACCTTTAACACCGGGACGGAACTTGCGGTGGGGTCCGACTGCCTCTAACACCGGAACGGAACTCGCGGTGGGGTCCGACTGCCTCTAACACCGGAACGGAACTGACTCGAGGTGGCCCGCTCGCTCTTAAATACCCCCCCGGTCTCGCGCATGCACGCTTGACGGCTCGAGCTCCACCCCCCTAATTCAAAATTCGCTTCTAACCATCAATCCCTATTCTTATCTTATTTATAATTTATTCCTATTCCTAATCATCGTCGGTTTTAATAAATCTTTAATGGTTATAGTTATATTCTCCTATACTAATCATACGCG